AAAGCAACGTCTCAGAAAGTAAACTGCAAACCCACACCGCTTCCAAATCATCTGGATTTTATAAAGTTTAACCACCATGTGGAGGGCAAGGAGAAGAACTTAGTAGCAAAACACGGCTCAGGGTTACAGCAGCAGAGTCATACAACAATTAAAAAAGGGAAAGGCCTGGGTTAAACACACAGACTTCCAGCAAACAACACAAGTACAGACACAGGAAGGCATTTGGGGTGACAGGAAAACACAGCAGGGCTGGGTGGAAGTGGTGTGTGTAAGTAGCTACTACCAGTGTTTTCTATGGCTTCCTACTCAACCATTAGGACAAACAATTGTCACTAGTCTTAAAGGCACAGAAACGGCCGGCAGAAACAGAGACACAGCTGGTAGGCAGGGAAAACTGGACGGAATGCTGGGAGAAGGAAGGCGGAGAGAGAAGCCGTGAAGCCGCTACAGACAGACGTGCTGGAACTTTGCTGGGTAGGCCATGACCTTGTGTGATGCACAGGTTAATGGAGATGGGTTCAATTAATCTATAAGAGCTGGCCAATAAGAAGATAGAGCTAATGGGCCAAAATTTAAATAATACAGTTTTGTGTGATTATTTTGGGTCTAAGCTGGCCGGGCAGATGGGAACAAACAAGCAGCTTCCTCCGGCAAATAGGCAGGATGAGTATAATACTGTCCCAACAGTCCAGAAAACCAAAAGTGTACGTGGCTCATCAGGAGACAGGGCTGAACATCCTAACTTGTACCAGAGGTCTTCATACCAAACTATCTTATATTCAAAATGCACTATGAAATCTTAATGGTTTGGTGACTCTATCACTGTATATATACAGATTCTCACCTGCACTGCACTGTCCTGGCAGCCTGCAAACCCAGGATACTTGTGTTTTCTTTCGCTGAGCTTTCATTCCCATACTATAAACACGATAAATACAGTATGAAAATGGGCATGGTGAACAGCTAGCTATTCATCTGTCTCAGTCAAAAAACAAGTACTAATATACTACTATTTCATATGTTAAAATGGCATTGTGCACTTGACAGAGAATTTTTAATTGTTTCCTTCAGAGTGGCCACATACCAATTCCTAAATTTCATCTCTGGCTCTAACTTTTTGTTTGTTTTTCAAGACATGGTTTCTCTGTGTAACTGCCTTGGCTGTTACTTGCTGGAATGCACTCTGTATACCACGCTGGTGTTGAACTGGCCTCTGCCCCCCAATACTGGGATTAATTAAAGGCATGACCCCACTACTCCAGGCCCCTCTGGCTCTAACTTTTTGAGCTTCATTATCCAATCCACTGCTAGGGGGGGAAAAAAAGAAAAGAAAAAAAAAAAACCAAACATTTATTTTTATTAGGTTCCCAAAATTTCAAGTTCAATCCTGAATTCATAATTTCCCCTTTTCTTGACAGTTCTACCCACAGGTCCCAACTGCTCAAGTCAGAACCAGGATTCTTTCCTGAATTTCCCCTCTGACCTATTACACTCAGCTCATCCCATCTAAATGCTGTCATCAAATAAGGATCTGCCAGCATTGACCATGGCCCAGAAAACTACCAATCCTTCAACAAGTTCCCGCACGGGGCCTGGCCTCAGTATACCTGTATTTCTGTTAGTGACTACCTTCTGCCACCCTACGGCCTAGGACCCTTCACTGGGAAATGAGGACAGAAAACTTGTAAATTAGTCACTTTTCTCCTGCTATAACAAAAGTACCAGATAAAAGCAACTTAATGTAAGTTTTTGATGTGGTTTGAGGGATGAGAGGGTATGGCCGTGGGAGTCACACTATATCCACAGTTAAGAACCATAGAGAGATGCAGGCTGGTGCTCAACTCATGCCTCCATTTCCCTCTTCTGTTCGGTCTAGCTAGAGCATACTCAGTGGAATGATGCTGCTACAGCAGTGAGTCTGCCCTTCTCAGTTAAATCTCTTTGGAAACATCCTCGCAGACAACAAATGGTATCACAGTGTCTCCTAGTGATTCTAAGTCCAGTCAAGGTGACAATAAAGATTAACCACCGCTCCACACAGCAGAGCAGTGATCATATTACACCTAAGTATAAAAAATACCACTCTGCCAAGACCCACCTTTACAAGGCTGAACCAGTAAGTCAAGACCTGTTCTTGTAAACTAAGTTTAAGGGAACATAGGCTGGACTGTGACTTTAGCTTGACTTGACCTAATTCTCTACCTGATACCTGACAGAGAAAGAAGAGTGGGCAAGGATGCATGATGAAGCCTGAGCCTACTATTACGAAAAACTAGGTCCTTTGCATCAGGACACCACACCAGAGAAATCAAAACACAAGTCACACTGGACTCTGAAGAAAACAAGTCATTCTGCACTGGAAAACTTTTTCAACTGGAAATAACATTAACCCTTATTATGGTCACTCTCCAGCAGACTAGTATTAGAGAAAAAGATTATGTCCACAACACAATACAGAACTGAAGACTTCTTTGTTTTTTTTTTTTTTTTTCCTTTGTAGCACACAAGAGTCAGTCCAGAGCGTCACAAGAATACATATTTACCACTAAGCTATACCCCATCCCAGGAGTTAAGTCTTTCCTGTGTATGAGTATGGCAGACTGATCTCTGAACTTGTTTCCCCTCTAGAAATGGGCAGTAATTCAGCTATAATCAAGAAGAAAATGGTTCCATGGCTAACATTTTCCTTTCAAGTTTCCAAATGTTCTAAGCTTGGGTCAAGTATATTATAATCATTATAACATGATGTATGATCTGGGTCACATGAGATGAACAAGAATTTTGAACAGTAAAGTATGACCAGAGGCCTAGGATCTTGGCTCTGACCATCACAGGTGATTTCACAGAACCTAAGTTTCAAGTGGGTACAGGTTCATTTTGTCTAGTCCTGAACAAACTTGACAGTTCCAGACCCTTCTGCTCAGCCCTGCCACCAAGTCTTAGACACCACTGCCTTTTCCCACCTTCCAAACCCTCCATTTTGTTGTGCTGCCAACAAGGCAACAAGACTCCTCTAATCTACCAGCCACACTCTTAACACTGTACAGCACAGCTCTCCCCACCACCTCTGGCTCGCCTTGCAGATGCAGACTGTTCAAACAAGGTACACACAACACTGGCCATTCTTCCCTGCTTGTGTCCTCACTTCTACCTCTGTTGGGTCATTTTTCTAATTTCTTAATTCCAAGAGTCAGCTGAAACCCCACAGTGTTTGGAAGACTACTTTCATGCTCACCAATCTACTTATTTCTTAACTTTTAAAATATAGTTTCACGGTTGACAACTTAGTGCACTAAAAAAAATTAATAAACAAATGGTTCATTGTGCTGGGCAGTTTTGGTCAGCTTGACACAAACTAGTCACTTGGGAAGAGGGAACTTCAATGTAGGAACTGTCTCTATGAGACTGGCCTGTAGGTGTGTCTGTAGGGAACTTTCTTGGTTATGTAGGAGAGCCCCAGCCCACTGTGGGCAGTACCATCCCAGAAAGGTGATCCTGGGTTACATAAGAAAACAAACTGAGCAAGCATTGAAAAGAAGGCAATAAGCAGTGTTCTCCCATGGTTTCTGCCTCCGGGTCCCTGCCCTGAATTCCCCAGATGATACAGAATGCAACCCGTAGGATGAAACAAACTCCTCTGCAAGTTGGCGCTGGTCATAGTGTTTATCACAGCAACAGAAAGGAAACTAGAGCACACATGCTTTAAAAGTAAAAACAAACAAACAAAACACAAGCTCTTATTTCTGTTAACAAGTATTTCCATCTATCCCAACCCTGGGGAACAACACCACTAGAAAGAAAAAATATTAGTTGGTTAATAGAGACAATGAAAGTTAAGTCCTAAGGATCAAATTCCAGTTCTGTGAAGTACTAGGCTCAAGAACAAGCACAGGAAACGAGAGCTGTTAGGAAAATGCTGGCGAGGTAGGACTCATAAACCTTGTGTTTTAGGTTTTTTGCTTTGTTTTGTTTTTTGAGACAAGACTGCACTATGCATACTAGACTGGTCTAGAACTCCACCTTCTTGCCTCTGCCCGCTGAATGCTGGGATTACAGGTTATATGCCATGGTGTCTACCTTTGAAAATGAGTGTGAAGGGCAAAGATCTAAGAAGGAATGATAAACAAAGGAATCCCACATCAGAAAGGCCCATGTGCTTACAATCTGCCCCAAGTCAAGAGCCAAGACTTTGGTAAGTTTCTCATTATTTTGCATGGTGCAATGCTGACCTCATGGTCTCCCTATACTTCATGCCATGTGTACTGTATGTAAATCAATGGGCAAGGGTAAGAGACTTAATACAACTTTAAAAAAAAAATATCAGCAGTGGGGGAGGGGAATGAACAAAATAGTGACATATTTATGAAAAAATCATAATTAAACTCATTATATGTTAACTTAAAATTTTCATTAAAAACATCTGTTCCATTGAAAATACCTGACTATGATTGTGGAAGCTTTTTTGTTTTTAAATAATAACTTCAGCCATACTGTTAATTTCTTCTTTAACAGACTAGTAGGACTTAGATGCCAGGAGAACAGGGAGGGTGCGGGAGCTGCCAGCACTTCAGATGGACGCAAAGCTGTGCTTAGCTCCACTCCCACCCTCCAGCAGAGGAGACCTAGAGACTAGAATGGTAGTGCTATTAGGTCCCCATGACTGCCACACACTGAAGGCTGAAAAGATCCGATATCTGATATGACAAAGTGACAGGTGCAACCATTTCTCTATTGCCCATGCTCGCTTTTCCCACGGCGCCCAACTAGCCTTGACCATGCCTTTAAACTGCTTCCTCTAAGACTATGCCGTCTCAAGGAACCACTCACTACAGCCCCATTCTCCGAGAAGAGCTGATCCTCAGGGAATGCCAGGAGGACAGCAGCTGCCTTCAGGTAGCATGTTCCCTTCTCCCAGAAGCAGAGCTGACATCACTCTGGTCCACGCCGACTCATGGTCATGGATGGGAGAAGATGCTCTCCAGGGGCTCCCTCAGTCCTACCTTTGCTGCTACAATGCTGAGGCCCATTCCATTCTGTTTTTTTAGGGTCACAGTGATTATTTCAGGTTCCTTCCTCAGAGGCTGGGCCTAAAGATAATAAAGAATCTCATTTTATCTCATATGGTTAGAAAGCTAGTTAATTTGTTATAAACAAAAACAAAAACAAAAAGAAAAGGTACAAAAGTCTATTACCTCAGGTACTTTTCATTTGCTAAACAGTATTACATCATTTGGCTAAAGTTTAAAAGATGAACCTAGCTACAAATGCCATTCAAATGTTAAGAATTAATTTATGAAACAAGATTAAGCTTCCATATTCTACCAGGCTAGAAAATACAACCATAAAAACAAAATCCAATTTTTACCTTTATGATCTTTTAAAATAAACTGCTAGGCTTTTGTTTTGTTTTCCAAAGAAAAAGCTTAAAATTATTTTATAATTTTCCACTGTCTGGGAAGATAGCAGAAAATGGCTGTAACAGAGATGAAATAATATCTTCATCTCTTGGGAAACTGCACATTTTATTTAAAATGGTGAACATAAAGAACTATAGGACACAACAGCTGTAGTTTCAGCACTCCATCAAGAAACTTACATCCTGAGTTGGGCACCCAGTGCAAAGGAACTGAGCAGAGGAGACAGAGTCAAAGACAGTGGCTTTTGTTGTATTTTGATTTTTAAGGAAAGCATTATTTAAGTCACATATTATACTCATGCCAAATTTCACACCAAAGTGTGAACAAGGCTAAAAACAAAATGAACACTGAATACACACTAAGAGGAAATTTAACAATTAAGATGCAACTGCAAAGAGACAGTGATCAATGAAAGGCGAGAAACTGTAAAGACCATGAAAGAACAGGAGGGAGAAAACAAATAAAATTATGTGACATTAAAATTTTTGTTTTATATAGATCAGACTGAAATCTATTTCCTGGGTAATCTGAGAATAAATCTGAGAGATGAACAATCAATGAATCCAAAAAGTTAATTGCTTTCGTATAAAATCTGGTCATCAGAAGTTGATACTGTTACTTTGAATTTGACCAAAACAAACAAAGGAAGTCAATTAAAAGAAATGGTCATCTTGTTAGGAGTAAGCCCACATATTTGGTATAATGACAACTATCAATTCAATTTTAGGAGATGGCTCTGATACATGTTTAAATCTAACGTTTTATATAAACATATATACTATATAAAGTATTCATTTTGAAAGTGTATTTGAAGCAAAATGTAATTTTCCTTAAGATTAAAAAAATTTATTATTTCAAAATTATAAATTATCTGATACACATTTAAGACAAGTAGAAATCAATAGAAAAGAATGAAATATTTTTTCCACTGAAAAATATTTTGTAACAAAACTGTTTAAAGTTATCATACTCATATGTTCCAAAAATATGTATGTAGGCTGCCTTAAGTGTTATCATAAATATTCTTTATTACTACAGAACCATTTATCTTACTACACAAAACTGTACAGACCTGGCTCAGGAAATAAATGCATGTGTTTTTACAAATCAAAGTTTTAAAATGTTTGAATCAAATTGGTATTAGAAAATCATTTTATAATTTTCCATCATAACATTCTATGTATGCAAAGAATAAATTATATCATATCTCCGAAGTCATTATGAACATTTCATATTTTACTCCATCCCAACCTCAAATACTTGCCAGTTCTGTGTTCTCACGCATAAGGTGACTTTCATAATCTGCACCTTCAAAATATATCGTCCAAGTACCTGGTGAACGTGTATGAGGAATCAACCTGCAAAATCCTAAAAAGAAAATAACTATTATAAGACAGATAAGACATACTTAATCCCACACAATTTTCAACAAGGAAAACAAGACAGATTACTGATTTAAACCATTTTTCTTTTTATGAAAATTGGTGGACTGCTCTGTAAATACAGTCTTACAGAACTATACATACCACTCGAAAGGAAAACCCTCAATGACATACACATTTGTTTAGCAGAAGAAAGGCATAAGGAATCAGAGAATGACACAGACATGGGCTGCCAACCTCTAACACCAGGCTGGGTTGAATGTCTTACACTACAGACCACTTAACTTGCATACCCTGGGTTGGGCGAGTCCTTTCTCACAACATTTTGTACACATTTCCTCAGCTCGTGTGCATTTAAAGTCTTAAAGAATTGTTCTGTTTTGCTGTTTTCTGAGGCAGGAGCTTTGAACTTACTTTGTAGCCTAGGCTAGCCTCAAGCTCATGATCCCCCTGCCTTAGCTTTCTGTTACAGCGTAGAGCACTTTTTTGCCTATTATGTGCAAGGTCCTTAGCTGGATCCCCGATACTCCCACCAAAGTATTTCTGATATCCTTATTCAGGATAGAGAACATATTTAAAATATGAAGACCTTTATTTAAAGCCATCTCATCTTAATTTAGTTAAATTTTATTTTATAGTCCTCAGTTATTTTTGGCAAAGTAATATTACATAAGCTTTCCATAATTCTTCTTGTCGTGAACACCCAGTGTTGCTCAAGGTCTCACCATATGTGAACAGCTGCATGTCTGAAGCCTAGCAGTCCAGAGTCTTCCCTGGTTTAGTGTTTCATCAATGAAATATAATTTAGATTGCTGTTATCAGACATGTACTTGTGGAAGAAGGAAGGAGAAATATAAAGAGCATCAGCTAAAATAAAAAATATAATGTAATTTCACTTTAAAAATGTTTCAATCCAGCGGTTTCATTGATATGTAACCAGAATTTGTTTTACTTCCTCATGTTTTAGAGAACTATAACGCTATTAAAAATCTGAAATTTCAATAACTGTAAACAATGTTTTAGATTTTCAAATGTCCAGTTTCCACAATGCTCATGGAAGTGGGTTTGTCACAGCCTGAGGCACTCATCATACCCCGGAATGGGCTGGGCTGGTTTACAGTCTTTCACAGAACTGCACAGCATGGGGGAGGGGGGGAGTGGAGAGTGGGGTGGGTACTGAGAGTGCACAGTAGTTCTTTAATCAGTTTACCAAGAGTAGAGTGTAAAGAATCAAGAACTCTGATGTCAAATACTCAGCCCACTTTACACCTTTAAAGGCATCTGTGTGCTAGGCTGAATGAACTATAAACATCCAACATGTATGAAATAATACATGGTTGTCAAAACCGGAATGAAATACCAACTGGCCTCAGATCACTTATCCAAGAGAGCCTAGGGGAAGATATGAAGGAAACTCTTTGTCAAGTTAAGACCTCACAGTTTCCATGCTGGCAAATACCCATGGTGCACAAGACAAAACCGGCACATTATAAATTATGTCCAATGCAAAGTCGGAGCAGATGAGTCTTCTAGCTTACTTATTTACAAAACAGTAATTAACACGTTTCTGAGTGTCAGCATGAAGCATGCCTAGGTGAGTATGGACAGGACTGAGGAAGCTCAGCCAAACCAAAGCTACAGTAACTCAGCACTGTGAAGACAATATTCATACCACCACTGGGAAGAGAAGACTTACACATGCCCTGGAAGATAAGATACAACCCTCAGACACAGCTTCACGGGGAAGGCATAATGCTCACACCCCTTTACATCAAACTAGCACCCTAGTCCCTGGTTCTGTACACAGTCTTGATGGAAAAGCCTCTGGAAGCATCTCTAGACACATGTCTCTCTTATGAGCAGCTCGACAGTCTATCAACAGAAGTAATAGATAAGACTCCTCCTGGGGATAAAGTAGCTATTGAATAATAAATAAATAAATATTTAAAAAAAATAAAGTAGCTATTGACCTGCTCTGAGATGCACACATAGAAACACACCTTTAAGTAGATCTTCAGCGAGCAGTCAAGCCTCTTTACTGTGTTCCCAATGCAGGCTTAAGTTTCTGTTAAAGATGCATGCCTAGAATGTTCACACTATTGCAGCCGGGCTCAATTTCCCTATCTGGATATAGGTCTACCTGTACCATGAATGAGTGTTTTTCAGGCCTAAACACATTCACTCTCCTTCAAATATCACAGTTTTCCTAAATGACCTCACCTCTGCTTCCCCAACCTTGGACTTTGTGTCTGAGCACAGCAGACATGCTAGGAGAACTAAAGCACAAACTGCTGTGCCAACAACACAGAGTTCATGCAAAAAGGTAGTCTTTCAATGTAATGATTTTTTTTTTCATCACTATACTTCTGAAGATCTAAAACATATTTTTTGTGGTGAAACAGTCACTGATATTTAAAAAAAAAATCACACACTACATTTATCTATGGCCACAGTCCCTTCACTAGTCTTACTATCTGTCATTTCATTGAAACCCTAATCTTTGGGTCTACGTTCCTACTCATCTGTTATTCTCTACATCATAAAAAATGTAGCAGAGTAGATTAAAATTTGTCTTCCCTCAAAGCCCACTTAAAAGAAAAAGTTTTTTATAACTGTCATATACCAGCCAAACTGTATATTAAATGTCACAGAGGCAGTCAGGCAAAAGCTGGAGACGGCTACACGTCTGCCTGAGGTGGTAGCCCCAGAAGCTGTGACAGGACACTGGGTACTCAGAGCCTCCCTCAACTGGCAACCTGTCCACTGTCACACCTCTTAGCCCACTTTGTGAGGAAGGAACGGAAAGGAAGAAAGGGTGACCAGCCTGTGACAGTTTGGATGGCGGGCAGTGAGCTAGGATCTCTCAGAACACTGGGAGCCTGTGCTGCCAGGAGAAAGGTATAATCAAAGGTCCCTTGTTATGGCACCGTGTGGGAAGAGAGCAGGTGCTCAATCAAGGAACACAACACACCCACACGGGTGGTGTCTGGGCATGTGAGATCTTACATCTCAGTGAAACTCTCTTGAGTCATAGGAACACAGTTTCCTTAGGCACAGTTCCATAGGCCTGTCATTCAGAGAGCCAGTGCAAAGCTCCCTCAAACCCAGCTGCGTGCACCAACTGAGGTATGACAAGTAGTATTTACCTCTCTGGCACAGAGGGTCTAAAAATTCTTGTAAACCATTTGGAATGTTTCTGACGACATCACAGGAATATCCATCTTCTGGCAAAAGAAAAGGGAGCTGTAGGTCAGGATCCTCCTCCAACTGAACATCTCTCCCATCACTGCGGGCAAGCTCATCAGCTGTGTTCTCAGCAACAGCCACAACACTTTCTATGAGATCCTGCAGAAAACAGATACTGACTCATCAAGAGATTCTGACCAATGGGAAGTACTTTGCTATGTCACAGACATGACCTCAGGGAGAGCACACTCAACAGGATACAGAAAGTTGGCTTCACAAGGTAGTCACACACCCAACACACAATACTTAAAGACAGAACAAGAGGCTGATTAACTCGCAACTACATATGGCTTTAAAACACTGTTTTACCACAAGATATTCTGGCTGGGCGGTGGTGGCGCACAACTTTAATTCCAGCACTCAGGAGGCAGAGGCAGGCAAGTCTCTGAGTTCAAAGCCAGCCTGGTCTACAAAATGAGTTCCAGGACAGGACAGCCAGGGCTACACTACACAGAGAAACCGTCTCAAAACAAAACAACAACAAGATGTTCTTCTCTTGTCCAAAGAAGTTGATTTATTTGCACATATTAAGTTGTAAACAATTATTTTTATAGGACATGAAATTCCATACAGAAAACTTTATGAAATAACTTAAAAAACAATAACAAAAAATATCTATGATTAGAAGTCTATTAATAGAAGAGCTGCAGAATTGGGGGGGGGTCTATGGATAATTTATATTACCAAATACAGTACTGAAACACACATATACACACACATCTGGGGGTGGAGAATAGCGGGAAAGAAAACAAACACGTGAAGCTCAAATGTCTTAATTAAAATGAAGATCCCAGCTCATTTCCCCCACAACTTCTGTACCAGGAGCAAAGCAGCCCTGGGCTCTACCACCATCTTCCTTTTCCATATAGGGAATAACTACTCAGGCTTATAATGTCGCAGAGTTTTGTCTGTTCTTGAAATTAACTAGCTGGAAGCCACTGCATATATTCTGCATACACATACAGTTTCTTTTGCAACAACTGCATCATAATATTCATGTACATTGTGGAGGCAACCACAATTCCTTCTTCACTGTAGAAACATTCCTCACATCACTGTAACATGGTTTTCTGCACTGTATTGCTAACTGGGTTATTTTCATCTGCTGGCTATTTTGTACCTGCCTTTTATTGTTACAACTCAATAATGAACTTCATTTGTGCATCAACTAGCATAATCTAGACACAGCTGGCTCAGATGTAGATGGTATGGCTTGGATCTGAAGCACACCTAAAGGTTTATGGATTGGGGGCTTGCTGCCCATATGAAAGAAGTGAGGCTTTGGAGAAATGATTAGATCAAAAGGACTCTTGTCTTTTTTAATGGATTAATAGTTGGCGAATTCAAAATTTGAATGGATTATCATGAAGTGGTAGAACCAGAAAAAATTAGGTCTAACTGGAAAAAGGTCGTTGGGGGTGGGGTGGGTGTGAGGATTGATCTTTAATGGACCCCTTCCTGTATCTGAATTTTTTTTTAAACTGAAGAGTCCATATATACTTACCCTGTATATACAAAGAAAGAACAGGTAAAAAAAATGATTCTACCCAAGCCTGGCGTGGTAAATATTTTAACGGGGTTACCCATTAAAATCAGCATGGGCAACTTATAGGTAGGTATACCAACCACCAGAAATTGTTACCTGTTCATATAGTCTTCAGGTGGACAAGGAATCCTGTGAGTCCTCCCCCTATTCCACTACACGATGTTGGTGGGCTCAATCCTGTGTCTTAAGGGTCTAGTGTGGGTTATCAGCTCCTCTAATTTTAAGATGGCAACACCATGTTATAACCAAAGGACAGAGCTCCGTGAGTTCTGTTTCATGGCTGCAGGGAGTAAGCAGCTCTCGTTCACAGCATCTTCTCTGCAATCATGTCCTCTCTCTTACTATAGTCCATAATCAGGGAACAAGTTGATCACGGACTGAAACTCAGAAACCCTGAAGCCAAATCTTTTCTTTCAACTATTTCTCCCAGGTAATAACTTAAGAGGGTAGCATCTGTGGTACAATCAATAAGGATAGATATTATGGATGGGTTTCTTATCCTAAAGTCCTTACTATAGTATGAGACCAGTATACATAAAATCCCAGGCTCTCTTCTGGGTGAGACTGGTTGTTTCAATCAGACACTGATGTATGAAATCTGGAAGACTGCTATGGTAGTGAAGACTTATGCTGTTGCTGATGGCAGGAATGTACATACGGTATATGAAAAGAATCCTTAAAGCTTTAAGAGCAGATCTGGCTCTCCAGAACTTAAGCACAGTGCTTTAAACTTCCTTTCCTCTAGTCCTCCCAAAAATTTCCTAAAAAGCAATGTCCCAAATTAAATAATTTCTTTCTTAAAATGCTTGTATAATCTATATTCTTTGCATTGAACAGCTAAGACTTCAGAGTAAAATGATCTCCTATGATAATTTTAGGTAAGCTCACTACTGACACATCACTGAGAAAGCTTTCCTTTTCTTCCCCCTTCATCCTAACCTTCCTGTGCAGACATGCCCACACTACATGGTATCATGGTAATAGCCACTTACCGTAGGGATAACAGGCTCATCAGGTGCACAGTGGTAATTTTGTAATAAGGCTTGAAGTTGCAGAGAATTTAACTTAAAGCATGTGCTGTTTATATTTGGAATGTCATCAGGCACATACTTATCCATGGTAAGCAAAGTAGTAGCCTATTTAAAAGAATAAATATTATAATGTATGATACTAAAAAATTTTTTCAGTAAGGCTGAGAGAGAAGGTTAGTGGAAGAGCTCACACTCAGCATCATATGTGAGGTCCTGAGTTCAAATTCCCAGTAACACCAAACAGAAAACCCTTTCTAACAGTCGTTAAGCTAATAACTTGTTAATTTGGTTTTGAGATGCAGAATGCTTATAAAGAGGCATTAACATTTAGCAACACATATTAAACTACAAGCATACTTTTGAAGGTTCTTCAAAATAGCCTCTTGGATTTACTTTAGTTTTTATGCTTAACGTAATTTGATCCAAGTATAATGGTTACAATGCACTTATAAAGGTCTCTTTGAAAGTCTGAATATTTATACAGTAATCCAGATGATCAATTATAGGAATAAGAGAATCTTGCTAATACAAATTTTGACAAAAGTTGAGAGCTAACTAGTTTCTCAGGATAATGAATACCTTTAGAGGAGATGAAGGCATAAAAAAACAAAAGCTAATATATTAAAAAAGATCCTAAATGTTGTATGTTTTGAGGTTGCACGTACTTATTCCCTTAGTTATAAAAAGCAGATCCTAGACTTTGGAATCTAAAGCTTTCTCTGAGAGCTGTTAAGATAGCAGAATATGACTTGCTAACTAATTACCATCTATACTTCCGTATAAGGCTTTCTAAAGTATATCTTGCTGATCTCAACAAAAACAATGAAACTGCTATCCTACTGTTTATACACCTTGTTATAGGGTGAATAATGACCCTTGAAATTGGGATGTTGGAGGCCCGAGCATTACAGAAAAGGGACCTTGTTTATATACCACTGGTTACAAAAGGAGGGCCGTGCTACTGGTGCTCTTGTACAAACCGGACACTTGGACAGACATGTGCCCAAGAATGCCATATAAAGACTACGGCAAAATTGTCCAACAAATGCCTACGCTGGGCAAGCCAACAGAGGGTGGTAGAACAGATCGGTAACAGTCCCTCAAAAGGTACTCACACGGCTAGCACCGTGGTTCTGAGTGGGAGGTAGTAACGCCTGCTAAGACACTTAGTTTTAGCTGCTTTGTTACAGCAGCCAAGATTTTGCCACATCACTGCCTGACTATACATGACAAGAAAAAGACTGAGGCTTTACTGAAACCAAGTTCTTGTCTATTATAAAATCTGAAATCCACCACAAATACATTAACAGGGAAGAGGGAGAAGCACAGAGAATGGAGTACAACCGTGTACATACCTGCACAATCCTGCTCAAGTGACAATCAGCTGCCAGCTCTAGTCCCTGCTTCTCTGCCCAGGCTTCAATATGCCCTAGCTGCTGGCGGATAATTGCTCCCCAGTAGTGAGAACACAGGCCTGAATCTGGGTCAGTCACCAGTCTGTTGAACAGCCACATATTGATAAAATGGAAGAGCTGGGAGAACAGCTGGATGGTCAAGGCAGCATTGACCCTGCAGCGCCTCAGCAAGGACATGGCTCCGGTGAGTGTATGCAGCACGTCATCTGTTCAGGATACGGAAGAAAAGTCCAGAGACCAGATGTCATTGCAGACCTTCTGAGTCATACCAACTTTACACATAGGTAGTTGAAGCAATTAACTGATAAGTGTCAAATTCAAACAAAAAGCAGTGATGTAGTCTTAAATACATACAGCTACTAACTAACCACAATTTAAATATGAATTCACCTAGAAGACTTTTTAAGTATTACCAACATAGCAAAACTTATTCATAAATTAACTTAGAAGTTATTACAAAGACTTCCAAATCCAATAAGACATTGAAGAAACCACCCTGGGGCTGGAAAGATGGCTACAGGGTTAGGAACACTTGCTGATCTTCTGGGAGACCCAAGTTCCTTTCCCAGTTGCAGGTACTCTAGGGCTCTAATGCCCTCTTCTGGCCTCCTTGGGTACTGGCACCCACAGCATACACTCATACAAACATTTAACATAAATAAATCTTAAAAAAACCCACACCCTTATATATATATTTTTAATATATAACAATATATTCAACATTAAGGTAAATTTAAGGGCTGAAGAGGTGGCTCAGAAGTTAAGAGTACTAGCTGCACTTGCAGAAGAGCCAGGTTCAGTTCCCAGCCATCTGTAACTCTAGTTCCAGGGAATCCCATGACCTCGTCTGACCTCTGTGGGCACTAGACACAAACATACATGAGGTCAAAACTCATATACATAAAAAATTTAAAAATTAAAACATAGTCCTTGGCAGAATGGCACAGAAGAAGTTTGCTGGGCCTATAACCAGACAAAGGTCAGTGGCATCAAAAAATAAAGAAAACTAGAAACTGGAGCGGTGGCTCAGTAAATTCCCTGATTCCCAGCATTCACAGGACGGCTCACAACAGCATCCACAGGACGGCTCACAACAGCATCCACAGGATGGCTCACAACAGCATCCACAGGATGGCTCACAACAGCCTGTAATTCAGTCCAAGAAACCTGGCACCCTCTCTGGATTCTGTAGCTCTTATATGGTACAAATAATCAAGCGCAAAACACATATACTTAAAGATTTTTTAAAAATCTTAAAAACTAAACAAAACAAAACAAAAGATACCAAGTTAAATTAAGTTAAATGGTGGAGGAAGGCACACAGACCCTAACCTATTTTTGGTCTTTGCAGACTGTTCTCCTCGGGATCATCCAGAAAGGCTGGCATGTAGTTATTAAGCTCTGACTGAAGACAGTGAACCAAGTACCTGAAAATACATAATTTTAATAACCTTAGCAAGTTTGCACAGATAGTGTTAAGACCTTTTATTGAGACAATCTTTATTCTCTAAGAATATTTTCTACTAAAAATAACAAAAACCACACTCTGGGACATTAGAATGAAGTCCCAGAGTGCAGTGCTCTAAGTCAGCACATTTTCCCAAGCTTCTTGGTAAGCATTTTCAATTAGTTAAATGAAAACCGTTAGTATTAGTTTTGAAAACAGAACAGAAAGCATACAAGTTAACTCTTTCCAGAATGTGTTTCTTACTTAAATGCCATCTGAACCAAGTGCGCCAAAACATCCTGGGCATCTAGTGTGATCCGACTAAGGTCTCGGTCCTGCTTGATGAAGTTGAGAAGTTCAGATGCATTTGCCATCCAGAAAGCAAGTGCCCCGGCAATGTTCTTTTGTTTCTGTGGACAGAAAACATTTCCATTAACAATGTCAGACATTAGAAAAATTAGAAATAAATAGGAATGCTCCTGAAAAGCTCAAGATAGACCAGTACCTTCCCATCTTCACCAGGTATTTACCACAGATACCAGATACTTGCAAAGAAATTTAGGTCATGCAGAGCAATGGAAGTAAATGACCACTGCAGCATCTCGGGATGCATGGACACAGACATACTGGTCTAATTAGATGTAATTTGCAGAATCAGTCAAGAATGGAGATATCGTGTATTACCAAATCAAATTGAAGATTATGCATTATCTGGTAATCTGTGTATCATACACACATGTATCCATGGTTACCCACAGCCACCCTGATACTTGTAGTCACTGGCTTGGACACCATGCAACTCAGTATCAAGTACTGATCTATCACGTCCTCTCCCGACCACATTTGCAGGCCAGGCAACCTTAGATGAGATCCAAAGAATAGGAACCAAGGATAAATAATAGAGAAGAAACAGAACTTTTGTCATTTCATATCCACACTGAAGTGCATTAAGCAGAAATTATGAAATGCTGATAAAGTTGCACAGTCAAAAAGGATTTTAGTACTGCATGTTTCAGTTGCTGAATGAGGGTTATGAACTGCTCAGTCCAGGTTTTGTAGGATCGTATTTGTAATGGAAGCAGCATGAGAAACTCAGCTAAGCCAACACAGCTAGGATCAGCTCCCAGCAGCATTTCCTACCTGATCAACCTGGTCTACTTCCTGGAGAAAAACAGACGAGGGGAAATCAAGCAGAACGAGAGAAAGAAACTTGTAAACAATCATGATAGTTTAAAAAAATTAAAACACTAACATGAAGGTACGACATGAGGTACGACACTTAGTTATTCCCAAGTTATTTGACATAAAGGGTTGGTTTCATGTTCTTAACATTCATACAACTGAGTTTTATAGATGATAAAGATGATGTCATAATAAAACACAAATGAACATACTGATTTATTTGGAAAATATGCAAAGGAAGGACTTCCAAACACTTTTTTAAAATGATACTGTGGACTTACTACTTAAAGGTAAAGGAGTCCATTCCCCCGAATTAATTATGAGAATGAGAATGAAAAGACCAAGAAAAACAATCAAAATAAAAAAAAAAAGCAGAAAATCTTACAAGTACACAAAGAATTCATATTATAGCTATACTAAAGGGAATAAATTTTAAAAATAGAATTTAAATTACTTCTTGAAATTATTTGCTGTCGTATTGTTTCCACCAACAGAGTGTTTTTCAATGAACCTATTCTGATGTTTGAAAGCCTTTCCTAGACAGCAAAGTCCTCACTAGCAGACAACAGCAAGGACAAGGTCTCAAAAGGAGGTTTGCTGGTTGAAGTACCACAGTCCACACATGGCAAGAGACAATGACTATGAATGATAACTTAAAAGGACATTTGTTTGTTTATATATAAAGTGATAATACCAGAATAACAAAATATCCAGATAAAGTGACTTCTTTTTTATCTGTTCTTTAGCTTGGACAAGTCCATCAAACTCCTACTGTTGCTAGCCACTCATACGTAAAAGAAACATTTGTGGAAAACTGTTGGCTTTTTAATAAAAACAACTCTGAGAGTATTAAAAGACCATCTCAGTTTCCCACAAATTATACTGCCAGGATTTTTTTTTTTAAATCATCGAACCATTTAACCAAAGTATGTAACATTGCATTATTACTTTCTTAGCTGAGTAAAGGCACTGGTTAAGTTTGAAAAAGTTTGAAGTCTATAAACTTACTTATAATAACATTTACAATTAAATCCTCAAACCACCTAAATATAAAAAAAACGGCTGTGCCAGTTTTATCCACTATGGACTGTGAGCAGCAGGGCTGTGAAAGAAGTCCGTCCCCAGTGAAGGTCACCCTCAAACCCGGCAGCCCTGCATCTAGAGGTCACAACTACACACTCCCAACACTCCAGCAAGTTCATGAGAGGGGAGCAAGTGCCTGAAACAGACACCATGGCCTGTGGAAGGGAGGACAGCTACCCTCTTGGCACTGGAGACATTCTCAAGGTAGAGCTGCACACATACACTGTGTGGATTCACTTCAGTAATTTAGAGAAAACTCAAAGAAAACTGACCATCACCTCAGCACTTTCTCAGAGACTAATTTTAAGATGATTGTGCTGCAACATATAATTTATCTTCATTTATTCTAAAATTTCCAGAAAAGTTTTAAGAAGTTTTTATTTACTTTTGACTTTAAAAGCTATGCATTTTATTTTATTAAAAAGACTCCTAAGCTATAGAGGCAAACTTGCAATCAGAACTTTAGAAATATCACAGAAACTAACAAGACGGCTACCATTTCCCAGCAGGCTTGCTGGGTGGACACTCACCTGGATGACCCCTTCCATCATGCTCACCATCTTGTTGACAACAGCGATGGCCTTATGTGTGCGCTCTGCAGGGCTGATGTCGGGCCTGTGCTGGCTGGACAATACATACCGGCATGCCATGTACAGCACATATGTAGGCGACAACTTAAAGTGAACTGTAGAGCTATTGGTATAGTTTATAATGGCGGACAAAAAAGAATCTTCCGCTGTAAAAAGATTTTAGAAAAGAAGAAAAATGAACAGAAAGTCTGAATGTCATCTGGAGAAAAGTGGAACAAGAACTCATTCACTAGTAGCAGGATCTAAAAGGACTCACAGCTTTCCCTGAATTCAATGCTGGCAGGCAGGATCAGCTCAGGCCCAACCGCATCCTGGGTTCTAAAAGAAAAACTGACATCACTTAAACTGCCTTAAAGTAAGGTCAACTACTTGTTTCCACGTGGAGTTCTGAAGTGCTACCCCATAGGCAGCAGCTAGAGAACTTCTTCGGTTCCCCCAGTCACACATTCAGACGACTGGACAGAAGGCAGGTAAGACCCACGTGTCTGGATTATTAATGAGCACTGCATGTTGAAGACAAGGATCTAAGCCACCCAGCTCAGGTAACAGTGAGAAGATACAGGTTTCTAGTATTTGCAGACCAGCTAACTGAAATATTCTCTTCCATTGGAAACAGTTCCCTTCTCCGCATTCTCTCACAGCATGGAAAGATGAACAAAAATAAAAGAATACCAAGGGCCTGGAGAAATTGCTTAACAGTTAAAAAAAAATGCTGAGAATCAAGTTTGAATCCCAGCACCCTTATAACACACACATATATGTAAATGCACGCACACACTCTAAAGAAAAACAGAACACAATGTAAGTTAACACAAACTATTATCATTTTAAAATTCTTTCCATTAAATTATATTATTTAATGTTCATTCCAGTCTGTAATTCAACAATTTGAGTTTACCATAAGAATTTGGGAAAATAATCATTTAAAAGCATGATAATTTCAATACAGATCTTATACTAAAAGTATACTTTTTTTTTTTTTTTTTTTTAAGACATGGTCTCACCATAAAGCCCTGGCCGGCATGGAATCCACTATGTAGATCAGGCTGACCTCAAACTCATAAAACTCACATAGACCTGCTTGCCTCCACAATTAACAATGTATAACCACCTTGCCTTGCAGGCAGTTTCAAATTTTTAAAAGAATTAGTTTGCATAAACTATATAAGTTATTCATTTCATTGTTTTAATAAATTTATTAAAGGGTTTATATTAGCTAAAAAAGGGAAAAAATGTTGGTGATTATTTAAAAAAAAAGTCACTCCCATCACTCAAAAGGATGTTTGCACTTGCTTAAAATTCTAATTTTAAACCTATTTGTTAAAATGACTAAGACTTTACACTATGCCAATTAAGCACTACTAATTTCAGCATTATCAATGTGAAAAGTGAATAAGGAATTAGAAGAAAGCTTTTCTGTTTCCATCCTGTCTTAATATCAACAAACAACATCCCTAGAGTAAATAATAAAACTTTTAGTACTAGCCTTGCCTTGCATGAAATTATCAAAATGTTTTTATTAGAAATCATCTTAATTAGCCTTCACGTGGCTATTTTGTTACAACAGAACATATTTACTTATTTACATGGTTTGCCTCTCCTCTTCCCACCTAAGTGAATAGTCACATTTCTCCATAACATATAGCCACATGACTGTGGTCATTATAATACCAACTCATGCCAAATGTGGTAGCACACCCTGAATCCCAACCCTTGGGAGGTAGACAGAAGGATCTCTATCAGTTCCAGATATGCCTGACACACATACTGAGATCCAAGGCCACCGAGGACAAGCAAATCAAGAAGAGAACCAACACTGATTCAACCTTTCACCATGGCAGATACCATAATCTATTACTCTATACCACCTAAAACAAGTGTAAACACAGAGAGAGAACTATCTTTTATGACACCTAATAATCACACTGCCCCTCCCAAAAAAACTTACATGAATAGTCAAAAATCCCAGAAGAAAAGTATTAGATTTGCTGATAAGTACATATTTCATTACTGGACTAAATTTATTAATAATCCTGTGATACACAGTGCCTACTGCTGGAGGATGGCAAAGTAACAAGACTTTTTATGGCCTACGACTGAATTGACCGTTGACTAACTGTAGGGAACTCTGCTTCTGCTAACCATCTGTTCTGGATCTCTGACAAGAACAGAAAGAATGCCTTCTTCAAAACCCTGTAACAGGTCAATAGTATTCTCAGCTCCCTGCCAACAACATACAGAGTTCATACCGTGTTTCCTTCTCCCCATCTGTGGCTTCTATGGCTCTAAGTCCTACGGTGTCACGTAACAGTGAGCATGTGGGACACAGTCTGCTACATACTTAAGAGAATCCTGATTTATGAAAAAGGTAACATATTAAAAAGCATAAAAGAAAATAGAAAGCAGAGAAGCTCCATGCTATGAGAAATGAGGCAACCATGTAAAGGAAAGTAACTCACTCTCTGCCTCGGCAGGGAGACAGACCACATGAGAGTCTGGGACACAGAAATGTCTCTCCAAAATTATTTTTGTCTTTATATATTTTTAATTTCTTCTAGAGATGGATACAATAATTTTCTTTATAAAAATGATCACATACTAAAATGTTACGAAAACTCCTTTCTCTATATGCTATAGAGCAGCCAATTTAAAAGAGAAAGTGAAACTCAATGTACCTGTATCAGCAAGGCTACTCTGTGGAAAGGAAGAAATGCAATTACTAAACATTCATTTTATTCTTCTTCAATTCAGTAATATAAAAATACTCATAAAAGCCTAGCAAACTTTCTAAAGCTGTTGGCTAAATCTATAAATCCGGCAATCTTTACCCCAAAGCCTTCTAGGGGTGCTCACTTCTCTCACACAGTCACAGTGAGTTACCTGCTTTCTCTTCGGCGATAATCCTGCTCCTGGTCCAATCGGATCATTGGTTTCACCATCCCTCGCTCAGCGGTGCTGGAGGCAGAGGACATCCTGTCACTGTCCAGTCTAGTCGTGCTCTGTTCCAAAGGAAGCCACAGTGTTTTAGAATACCTCACACACCAGCCAGGCAAGCTTCACACTTGGCACTGCAGGCAGAAATCAGATGTGGCGGTGCTATGCAGGGAAGGTGAGGACACAGAACAGATAGTTCAGAAACACGTAGGACACTGGGCCAAAGGATCACAGCAGTGAATAAAAGAACATGAAAAACGGCTTTTTTTTTCTTCAAATAGCAAGGAATAGACTTTAGCAACAAAATACAAAGACAAAATGATTTTGAAAGAAAAGTCATTTTACTTCCCCAAGTTACATTCACAAAAATAAAACTGGCCAGCAGATGGCACTATTTTTAGGCTTTAAAACTTAAAAAAAAAAAAAAAACAAACTTATAAATGACCAGTAATGGCAATGGAAAAATAAATTAGGATATGTTTATATGCTTGTATACTAAAGAATTATTTTTAAGTGACTTAAGAAAAAAAAACGCTCACAATTAACAGTACAGAAAGGTATGCAGACAGACAAAAGTCTAATAGTTCAGTTGAAACACGTAAGTGAACACAAAGACACCAGCACACCTGCCTCCCTATGACCTAAGTACTCTGGAAAGGGTCCGCAATGTTAGCAAGAGTCACCTATATACTCTGGGCAATGGACTTTCATTTTCCCTCTATGTTGAATATACATTCTTACAAGAGAAGGTCTTCTTGGCCTCTCAAGTATTTATTCACTTGTGTGTGCCAAGTTCTGTTGCTGAATGGCACTAATCAAAGCATTAGAGGTACAACAATAATTCATAAAACAGGATCCCTGTGTCCAGAGTTCACAGGTCACATAATCAGTTAGTAAGCAGAGATACCAGGTAGTAAAAATAGTTACACAAAAGTCTTACATGTAGTAGTATGACTGGACGCTGCTCAAGAATGACCTCATGAGGAGGATGGGCTAAGACAAGAAAGGACCATGTAAAAACAAAGAATAAGAGACTCAGATGAGAGAAGAGGGCACACATAAGAACAGAGTGTGAAGGGGGAGGGGAAGATACTTCTCGTAATACCCATGAAAGGAGAGAAATCATAGTATCAGGAGCTGTGAAGACAGGGTGAAGGCTGTGTGGGTTGGAAAGGTACCAGACTGACAGCAGGGCTCCAACAGAACCAAGTGCATGTCTCTAAAATTCAAGAGCAATGATAGCCAGCAAGGACTGCCCAGTAATACCGAGAGGAACTGCTGCTCACAAAACTGCACTGTCCTTTACGTGAGTACTGAGCACTAATAAGTAAGTTACACAGAGGCATGTGGATGCATCATAGCCAGAGAAACAGGATATGACAGCCCTCATACAGGAGTTGTGCAAAGGAAAGAAAGCAAAGGCAACTTGAGACAGACTTCAGCTGGGCAAAGCCATGGTTGGTGATATAACTTACTAAAATGAAAAAAAAATGAGAAATAAGTTTAAGAAAAAACAAAAGATGCTTAATAAGCTATGTTAAATTTGAAATACCTATCAGAAACGTAATAGAAAGCCAACCAACCAATCTCTGAAGATTTCAGTTTGGGGAGACCAGGGTCAAGGGTACACTTAGGGGATAGTGACCATCAAATGGTGTAATCTTAGGCAACATGGCAAGGTCACCAAGGGAACATGATACATAGAAGAGGCAGGGCCCTGGATCTGACAGCTTAGCTAACTATCAGAAGCTAATAACAGAGAAAGAGCCACCAAGCCATGACCCAGGGGTAAAGACACAGCAACCCTGGAAGCAGAAGAGTACGTATCAAAGAGTGGTTATAAGTAGACACTACTTTAATGAGAACACAGAAAACACAGTAGAGGGCAGGAACCTGGTATAAGCAACAAACCTTAGAATATATGAACAGTCACCTCAGACGATTCTTTCAAGAAATTATGCAAAGAACTGTGTAGTAGCACAATGGGGACAGAGACTGGAGGAAATCAGCAAACTGAATTAGTAGAACCTATGTCATATTTTGATATGTATGACAATGTTCCCGGCTTAGTTGAATCATGGTCTCCAATATACCACATCTCAAGAAGACGTCTTCCCCTTAAATCTGGCTCTGACTTGCTTCAACCAATAAAAGTCAGAAAAAAATGACTGCAGTCACATGAAGGACCAGTAGCAAGACCAGTAAACCAGCTGCCCTAGTAGACTCAAACCAGTTCGTACAATTATCAATAAATGAAAAGGCTGCTGTTTCAACTCACCAAGTTTTACAGTGACTTTAATCCAGGAACAGATCATCAAGAGGAAGAGAGAAATGACTTGTATATGCAGGAATGAAGAGTGACTTACAGAAGTGAGTAACCAATGAAGATCCAGTATCGTCTCAAGGGTAGTAAAGGAAGGAGCAAGGGCACATTATCCTCGGCATAATCTGGCCCAAGAGGTTAGTTACACACAGCAGCAGCATAGGCACCATACTTACCCCACTGGAAAGAGAAGGCACTGTATTCCGACATCAGGAAAAGGGGACAGCTAGCTACCTTTCATTTATGTACCACTGAGTGAGCAGATACAGCAGAGAAGCTACTGTGAAGTCAAGTCTTTACAAAGGAGCTTCTGTTCTTGGGTGTTCTATAACATCCAACCCTCAAGAAGATCAGGTCACGAATCCATAATCACCTACCCTGCTTGCTGGCAATGCTGTCCCACTGTGAATATCTCCTCCCAAATCAAAGGTTGTCTCCTGAACAGCTCTATTGAATGAAAAAAATATATATAAAAATTAAATTTCAACCAACAAGGTAGTACTCTTAACACAGCAAGAGAGATAAGTATTCCAATGTTCAAAGACCATTAATAAACTTATTTTGGAATATAGACTTTAAAACAAAGTGACAGTAAATATGCGATCTTTCCTTACTAGGAAGTATACCAAACACTCCCAGAGTAAGTACTGTTTTTAAAACCACATGTTAAAAACAAAAAACTGGGGCTGTAGAGGTAGCTCTATGGTTAAGAGTACTTGCTGCTCCTGCAGAGAGCCTGAGATCAATTACCAGCAACCAAACAGCTCACAACCATCTGCAACTCCAATTTTAGGGGATCTAACACTCTTTTCTGGCTTCTCTGGGCACCAGGTACAGACATACATGGAGGCAAAACACTTATACACATAAAGAAAATAATAAAAACCTTAAAATAAAACAAAAAAATCGTATTTTCAATAGAAACCAAGCTGAGGCAAATATATATATATATATATACACACACACACACACACACACACACACACACACACACACATATATATTTCTTAAACTAAATATATATAATGTTTTTTTCAAGATAAAGTTTCTCTATAGTTTTGGAGACTGTCCTGGAACTATCTCTTTATATATAAAAAGTAAATACAATACACTGGTCCCAATCTAAGAGGAAAAGAAGACTAAAGGTGTCTGTAGGTCAATGGCTACTTATGGATTGTCCTAACATCTGAGAACTACATGGTTTAATTTCAAAGCTTGATTAATAGACTAAAACAAGCAAGCAAAGCTGAAATTCAAACAACCTTTCTATTAGAAATTCCTCTATATAATTCTCTAAGAAAATAAAATATCTTGCAACATAAAGCAATACCATGTTCTGAATAGTAACTTCTAAGAAGTTTTTTTACTAAAGGCCAAAATAATCATTAGCTTTCTGCATGTAACTGTCTTCAAGACATCAGTTTGGGTATTTCAGAGATGTGTGATGATACACTGGTTTGTGAATTATTTACAGACTATAGTCTTGATGCACCAAGCACCTGCATGTCATTATTGTAGTGAGGAAGGTATGATTCTTACAGCTAAAGGTCATAATATGATGGCATCTAAATCAGTACAAAGTCACCTTGGACTTGGGCTACATTCCTGCACACATGTATTATGTATGCCCAAGTACATAAATTAAAAACAAAACAACAACAACAACAAAAATCCTGCAACTCAAGGTGAGAAACTAGAAACCCTTCACACAAACCACATGAAACTTCAAGCATCTTTTTGCCTAAATGAGCACATGCCAATATGTGCTCACACTGGAGAAAAAAATGTTAACTCTGAGCCACAGCATCTGGTCCAAAGTGTCAGATCTGTGACAGTAACCAAGGGAGGTTAAGTGGGCGAGTCTCTGTGAGTTTGAGGCCAGTTCCAGGCCAGTTAGGGTTACATGAAAAACAAAGGGGCAGTAGTAGAGCCCACCAACACACCAGTTTATAGGGTGATTTATGTTTATATTCTTATGTTTACACTGCTGTAGACTTAGAAGTTTTTTGTAAATAACATAAGAGTTATGGTGGCTACTTCTCTATGATCAATACTTTGTTAACCTATAAAATGGGTAACAAAGCAACTTAACAGTATATGTTTCCAAACTTATAACCAAAAGAAAAGTTACTCTTCACCAAAATAATAATAATAATAAAAGTTGAACATACTACATTGCAAGACCTCATGAAAACACTAGGTGGGGCTAAAATGTTCTGAATTCTTAAACAGATCCCCCTTGTGTTACTAGGGCTGTTTTAAATACTACTGGTTACATATGGTGATGACCCAAAGAACAGATCAGCTTTAAAAGTAAGAATCTTTAAAACCAGTCAAAACTTCCAATTTCAAGATTAAGTCCAAATCCAATCCAAATTTTCAATAAACTTCCAATCCATAAAGTTAAGCTTCATTTTTATTTTACATGGATATTTTGCCTGCATGTATGTATGTACAACATGTGTTTGTAGTATCTCCATCAGAAGCCCCGAGCTGGCATCATAGACAGTGCCTGACTCAGTGCTGGGAACCACACTGGGTCCTCTGCCAGAACAGCACCTGCTCTTTAGCACTGAGCCACACATTCCACACCCTCCATTTTGACCTTTGAAAAGTGGAAATAAAAGGGTGGGGAAATGGGAGTAAGGTGCCTGACAACCTGAATTAGACCACAGGACCCACAGGTAGGAGAAGTACATGTCTGTGAGATATCCTCTCACGCCAGAAAAAGCAGGCACACACAAATGCACTCACACATGCACAGAGAAAATAAAAAATATAATAAAAACGGAAAATAAAGATATTTGCATATAGCTAAAATTACTTTATAGCCAAAACACTCTAAAATCCTTAAGCTGAGCTATCACATTCACCCAGGTTTATGTCTTGGGCCCTTGACCATCAGGCCTCCATCCACAGATCTCTTCGAAAGAACGTGGTCCTGGATGGGGTCCACAAACTTAAACACGTGTGAGGTGCCAAACTGCACTTTCATGCCACTCTGCAGCATGGTAGTCTCTGAGATGCGCTGGCCATCCACGTAGGTCTCTGCATCCATACTTCTGGGAGTCACAGTGACCACTCCATCCATGTTTGTGAGATCACAGTGATGGGGCTGAATTCCTGGACCAAACAACTGAAAAGAGAAGGAAAAGACAGTTCCATCATCAAATACACAGTGTTTAAAAAATTCAAGTTCAGCCATGATAAACATAGTCTAACAAGCACTGGACTTTTGTTTTCTTAAGAACTTAAAAAAGGAATGTCAGAATTTGACATTGGGCTTGGCCAAATCACCTTTGTTCTTAAGATGCTCAGGTAGTAATGACTGAGAGCTGGGCACAGTACTCCTACAACAGACCTATCAACTGTTATCAGCACCTCTGCTTTCTAAACAGAAGTGAACAGTCAGACTGGAATGTCAACATTAGCACGTTTCTGTAGGTGCATTCTGAATGCAAACACATGAAAAGTGACTCACAGAAGACTGAATGACTTATGGGTAAACACAAGGTCTATTCTTTTCTTCATTCATATGTGGCTGGTTTCTTCACTTGTGCTTATTAATAACTGATAGGAGGAACAACAGTAAAAGGCTTAGGCAGCAAATAAGATCAAGTACCTGGATAGAATTGTCATCAAACTTCTCTGTCCCAACTTCGGTCACACTTAATTGAAGGCGGTATAACTTTGGCTTGTCTCTGGAGTCAGAGCCATCTGTGAGAAGAGGAGGTACAGAGCTCTATTTTTAAAGTCTAATGATCTTACATTTGAAACAAACAAGTTACTTTACTAAGGATAGTATAGTTTTACTTCTCAGGACTTCTTCCCAAAGAGTCTCCAACTAACATTATAAACCTTAATACACTAGACAGACACCAGTCAGCTTCTGTTCACATAAAATGTTATATGAACATTATATGTCATTAATTCCAACACTTTCTAATTATACTTTTCCCCCAGCACACGATCCTTGATCTTCCTTAGTGATTCCGAGGACGGAATTGTATTGAGAAGACAGAGTAAGACGACATAAGCCATTACTTCAATCTAGAACCTTTGTAGAGCAGTAGTACCATGCACACTTAAGTTCACAGCAAAATACAGTGGTGGGCACAGCAATGCTCTAACTGTGCGACCCTCCTGAGCCACAGTCTGAATCTCCAGTGTCCAGTGTGCACCACAGTAAAAAAATGCTACTGAAATGCTTACTCCCTTTGGGAGAACTGGGGTCAAAGACAGAAAGGAAAAATTTGTTTCCTTCTTTTTTTAATTTGTTCTTAGAGAATTTCATGTATGTTTTGATCATATTCACACCACATCCCAACTCCTCCAGATTACCCCTGCATTTGTACCCGTCCAAATCCGTGTCCTTTCAAGAAAACGTGGAGCCCAACTGCCACAGCCTCCCTTCCTGTGCCGGGTAGGGGTGGAGGAAAGGAAAGCAGCACTGCCAGTCCAGTCCATGCCCTCTCGCCCACTGTACCCCATCTGTAGAGTTGGCACATGACAAGTGTACCTCACAGAACACGAGAACTAATATACAATCCAAGACTTCTCCCACAGCCACCACATTCAGTATAGGCTGCAAACACACCGAACAAGGTTTCCTTAAGAAAGCGAGTGCAAGCCTGCATAGTTTGTTTCGTGACTGCCCAAGTAACTTTCTGTCATTTACTCAAATCTTAAGCCATGGAATCAGATGTTAGCTGTGAGAGGTTCAAAAGTTTGGAGGACTCTGGTATGTACACAGACTATTAAATCTTAAAGTCTCTCAGCTGTGATGTAGTCTGAACTCTTACAAACAAAAAGACACCATAAATAGCTAAGGTCTCTAGAACCAAGTTTAGCTTTAGAGTACACAAAGTAATATTCTACTGATCTAATTTTCTATTTCTGAAATATTAACAAATCTATAACATCTGGGTGAAGGTATGTTGAAATATGAACGGCGGGCCCGCTTCCGCCACCTGGCTAGCTTTACCCAAAATAATTACACGGAAACTGTATTCTTTTAAACACTGCTTGGCCCATTAGTTCCAGCCTCTTATTGGTTAGCTCTTACATATTGATCTAACCCATTTTTAATAATCTGTGTAGCCCACGAGGTGGCTTACCAGGGAAGATCTTAACCTGCGTCTGTCTGGAGTGGGAGAATCATGGCGACTCACTGACTCAGCTTCTTTCTCCCAGCATTCTGTTCTCTTTACTCCGCCTATCTAAATTCTACCCTATCAGAGGGCCAAGCAGTTTCTTTATTAGTTAACCATATCACTCACATATCAAAGGTAAGATGAGACTGGAGCATGTCAAAGATATTTGCCTAATATGGGCTTTGCAAAATGGCTTTCCCTTCGCCCTGGAATATTTCCATCTATAATAATTCTCAGAAACTCTGGATTTAAAGGAGACATCAAATCACAGAAGCCCAACACTGATTAGCTTGATTAATGTCAACACTTCGGATATTGAAGGGAAAAGAAGTTTAAAGCCAGCAACATGCCTCAATAACAAAACCAAAGCTTTATAGGCTTTTCCTGGACGTGGATTCCTCTCCTCCTGGAATGTTTACTACCCCATATTGATGTGGGAATGATTTCTTACTAATAAAGAAACTGCCTTGGCCCATTTTATTGGATAGAAAATTAGGTAGGCGGAGTATACAGAAGAGAATTCTGGGAGAAAGAAGGTTAGAGGAAGAGTCGCCATGATGCTCCCACTCCAGACAGACGCAGGTTAAGATCCTCTCTGGTAAGCCAGCTCATGGGCTACACAGAATATTAGAAATGGGTTAGAACAATATGTAAGAGCTAGCCAATAAGAAACTGGACCTAGCCGGGCCAGGCAGTGTTTGAAAGAATACAGTTTCCGTGTAATTATTTCTGGGTATAAGCTAGCCATGCGGGCGGCCGGGTGCCGGGGACGCAGCCCTGCCGCTCCTATTTCAACATATGGCGCCCAACGTGGGGCTAAATCCACTTAAAAACCTGAGAAGGCTTAAAAATAAGGGAAACAGAGTTTAACACAGATTTTTGCTGTTTTGTTGGTGACATGCTGTAGAGAGATTCCTGATTCAGCAACAGCAGCAGAGAAAAAAAGCTGCGTCATTTTAAAGCGCGGCTTCCTGGTGCTATGCTGCCAGCGTGAACTCTGGCTTTAAAGCATTTCAAGGCTTTTATGGGACTGGATGTTTCTGTTCCCACTTGGGATCGGAGGAGATTGCTCTGAGACCTGCCGATGGCTCAGCGTTCCCTGCCTACACCTGGGCAGATGGCGGAATCAGGCTTAGGCAGGCGGAAGAGCATGGCGGATTCCTGCTGCCATACAGAGACGCGTTTTCAGACTGCGCAGTGCTCTGCGTGTCAGATTTGGCTGTAACTTGGATAAAAAGAGTTTCTGTGCTGCACACTCAGTCTCAAAATTAAATTGCTGATTGCGGCTCCAATGTAAACTGCTGTTTGCCTGTAACTGTGCTCAGCTCAAAAGCACCAAATGACTCTGAGGCAGGAGCGGCTGCTCCTTGCTGAACTGTGCTGATCTCAGGCAGGAACTACCGTAATTACCTTAAAACCGTGCAGTTAAGGTTTAGACTGGGCAGGACACAGGCAGTACCGTATTACCTATACATGGTGCAACTTAAGTTTTTAAGAAATGCTTAACATTTTAAGAAATGCTCCTGGATAATAAAAAAAAAAATACAGATTCACAGTAAAACAGATTCAGACACCGTTGGATGAATGTACGTAGGCTTGGGGAAAAAAAGAGAATATAAAGAATAAAGTTAATGTCTTAAAAAGAAAAAGGGTAAAGTCTTTAAAGAGACAGAGTACAGAAGTACAGATAGTTATAGATTAAGAGAAATAAAGAAAAATAAGCCACGTAAAAATGAAAAATTCACAGAGAGTCTGGATTATGTACATTGTGTTTTCTTTAAAATTTTTGACTGTGAAGGAGCTAAGTACAAAGAGACATTTTATTATATGGGCTGCTAAGCTGAACCTGCACATATGTTCTAAAGGTATCTTGACTTCAAAATTTGGATCTAAGGATATGATGCTTTGGAGAGGGTCTTCTTTTGTTTCCACAGAGGATGTGACCCTATGGATTGCATCTATCCCGGTATGGTATGATAGACCACGCCCTCCTGAAAGGTTGCTGTGAACACCCTCAAAAAATTACTTCACTCAACTGCCAACCGAGATGAACCTGACACACAGGTTACACCCTAAATGATCTGATTAACAGTGCCCCCATTCAGCAGGAAGCAGTTTGGAGAGAAAAAACTACGCCCATGTTCCCAAATATTGTTTATAAATGTTCTTTTACATTTAAAGGGGGATATGATATAGATATGAATAATTTGCATTGGTATGGATTTTAAGGTCAATTTTGTTATATGTATATGTATTTTTGAACTTGATTAAGGTATTGTGATTATGTAGTTCACTTAAAATGTAATGTATAATTAGGAAATATAGGTTGTTAATGGATAATCATTGCTAATAGTTAAGCTTGTAGTCATGTTAGTTAGATTTTCTAGATATATAGAGATATATTTCAATTAGATAGGCATTCTTCATATCTTTCAAAGACTGCAGAATATGGCATTTAAAATATTTTAATAACTTAGGACTTTTCATGACAAGGAGACACGTCTGCTCCTGGCAGCACCAGCTACTTCAAGAGGAAGATGGGCATCGAAGAGGATCCTTATGGAGTTGGATAGTCATTTGGGCAAGAAACTGCTCTTGCCTGGACTGTTGCATAAACTGGACACAGAGAACCCTCAGAGAGAGGACTGCTGAACTTGCCTAAAGGTGAGATGGTCTTTCGGGGTTCCTGATTCATGAAAGAGTCTACAAGACATTCTACAGAACACAGCAGAAAGTGACTGAACTGTCTTTAAAATTTCCTGCTTCATGGAAATGTATCTGGATACCATGGGCCTGTAGGCCGAAGATGGATGCCCCAACGGTACAGAGGAACTTTGGGTGACTGTCCAGGCAGCGAGATGTCTCTGTCATTTCTAGAGTTTTCTTATTTCTTGTTTACTTAGATAATATTATATCCTTCTGGAGTCTTTGATGGAGTTGAAGAATAAATAGTTATAGTTTTCCTTAGTTATGATAAGAGATAAAATAGATATAAATATTGTAACTGTAATTCTTACTTGATAACTGTTTTGTTATATGTAATTTTACTATGCTAAAGTTAAAGCCTTTCTTTTTTGTTTAAACGGAAAAAGGGGAAATGATGTGGGAATGATTTCTTACTAATAAAGAAACTGCCTTGGCCCATTTTATTGGATAGAAAATTAGGTAGGCGGAGTATACAGAAGAGAATTCTGGGAGAAAGAAGGTTAGAGGAAGAGTCGCCATGATGCTCCCACTCCAGACAGACGCAGGTTAAGATCCTCTCTGGTAAGCCAGCTCATGGGCTACACAGAATATTAGAAATGGGTTAGAACAATATGTAAGAGCTAGCCAATAAGAAACTGGACCTAGCCGGACCAGACAGTGTTTGAAAAAATACAGTTTCTGTGTAATTATTTCTGGGCATAAGCTAGCAATGCAGGCGGCCGGGTGCCGGGGACGCAGCCCTGCCGCTCCTATTTCAACACCATATTGTTATGGGCAGCTCACAATTCTTGTCTTTCCTGATCTTCTGAGTACAGGAATCTTGTATCAGAAAGAAAACCACTGAACTGGCCCCCACCAATTCCGAGCTCCTTCATAGCTAGGCCACACTGGCCTTTTTTAATAACTGATGTTCTAGAGCAAACAGTCATATTAAAACTGAAAGAAAATAATACAACATAGATACACAAACAACACAAATGAATTACAAAGGAAAAAAGTAAGTAACCATGTATGTCGAAGTAACAAGAACAGCAAAGTGATGTGGGAGTGTCATATCAATCTGTTGATTTCATTGGTTAAGCAATAAAGAAAGTGCTTGGCCCTGATAGATTAAAACATACGTGGGAGGAGTAAACAGAACAGAATGCTGGGAGGAAGAGGAAGTGAGCTCAGAGACGCCATGCTCTGCTCTCAGAAGCAGACACACGCGATGAAGCTCCGACCCAGGATGGACATAGGCTAGAATCTTCCCGGTAAGCGCACCTAGCGGTGCTACACAGATGATTACAAATGGGCTAAATTAATATGTGAGAATTAGCCTAGAAGAGGCTAGATAGAAATGGGCCAAGCAGTGTTTAAATGAATACAATTTGTGTGTTGTTATTTAGGGGCATAAGCTAGCCAGGTGGCCAGGGTGCTGGGGACGCAGCCCCGCCGCTCCTATTACTACACCAAAGACTTGTCTGCTAAGAACAGTGTTAACTTTCTGCTGCAGCTAAATAAATAAATAAATAAAATTACCTTTTTAACATCAACAGGCTCAGGGCTGCTTTCCCAGTCTCTCCTTTATTACTGCACTTCATTGTTATAGAAAAACCACAGACAAATTTGTGTATAGTGCAGAGAACCTAATAGCTACAGGACAAGTGGATGACAGAGCATCTAGTCTAAACTGAGAAAGGGTGGCAAGTGAGGACAGCTGAAGAGCTTGGTCCTTTGAGCTCTCTCCCAGTGACAGCCCACCTCCAGTTCTGGTCTAGAAGCTGATGATCACAAGCAGGAGTAATATGGGCGTTCCCTCAGCCTCCATTCCAATTGCTCTCCATCTCCAAGGAGTCAACTGTTCACAGCACCTGGATGCTTCTCCAGGGGAAAACTGAGGATATCTGAAGTACTATAGGAAGAAGACCCATGGCAGACACAATAAGCTACCAGAGCCCTAGCCAAGTTTTAGATTGCAACTTTTCCCCAGGTTTTGTGATATTCATGTCTATATAACATGCCACACATCTTGGGATAGAAACTACTTTTAAACACAAATTCCATGACCATCTAACACACAGCCAATAGGAAAATACACCCAACATACTTAAGAGTACCTGGGTGAGGACTATACCCATTACACGAGGTCATTGATTACACGGCTTTCCCTTCTGTCTTCACATCAGCACTTAAGACACTTCACATTTGGAGTGAGGGATGCTTAGCCTATTCTCTAAGTACGAAAGGAACACAAGCCACAGCACAGCTCAAGAGCACGTAAAGGCCCTTTGCCTGCAGTCTACAGTTCTGGAGCCAATCCTCTGCCTACAATCACTTCCCATAGTGAACCTGGAAAATGAAAGCAGCAAAAAAGCTTCCAATAAATCATCTGGGTGCTGGACGTAGGGCACTGAGCAGAAACAAACAGAAGGAGACATGTACATTTCTTTCACATACGTAGGGCACTGAGCAGACATGAACAGAAGAAGACATGTACACTTCTTTCACATGCAGTATGGTGTTCAGTCAACACTGCTCACCTCAGAAGTTCCATTAGTGCCCCATTACAGAGTAGTATTAAGTATAGCATTACCTTCATAGGTGTGATAGCTGTAGTACGCAAAGTGATTCCTTCTCCCTGGGATTAAGAGACATGCCAGGGCCCAGGTGAAGGCAGCATCAGCAGGAGAGAGACCATGCAGAACAGGTGGGAAAGGGAAGGAGGAGAAGAGATGCAAAGGGTGAGCTTCAGTGAGATGTTTCAAAGGAAGAAATGGCAAATTTTACCCACTAGCATTCAGAGCTGTGTGGAAGAGACTACAGCAGACCACAGTCAGTGTCTTAGAAACCAGTGTAGACTGTTAAGGAAAACAGCAGGACAACAGGTGAGTCACCAGGCAGCAGGACAGCTGTGTTAACAGTGAGTTAACCTGATAGAAAGTTACCATCCCACTTGGCTGGCTCCTTCTGTTTAAAACACACAAGAAAACCCACTCTTCTGTAAAGCTGTAAATAAACCTGCACCTCAGAAACTCCTGCCAATATCTAGCAGGTATTCTACACTGAAGGCACACATCTGACTGACAATGTGCCTGGTGGAAATATAGCTCTTATCCATTCCTAACATATCAATGCGCATGAATATTTCTCATAATGGAAAATAATCCCTCAGTATACTATCTAAAACGGCATCATGACATAGCTCTAATGCAACAAAGACCTTATTCTAGCACTCAGGCCTGTCATCGAAACCATTACCTTTAGGACAAAAGTATTATTTCTCTTAGATATCAATGCAATAATAAAGGCAGTTCTTACCAGCAGCCCAGAAAACTTGGAAAGGAATGTGGGCCTGGAGAGCCACTGACACTAATACTGAACTGTGCTCATCAGCTGGCATCAGAGAAAGTCTTACTCATATTCACCCCGCTGTCTATATAAGGAACTCAACCAATGTCGCCCAAAGGTAACAGAGTGCTAAGAAACATATTAGTGAACATGCAATAATGTGGTTTCTAGTATCTTGACAAAAAGTAGTACAGAATTTCTCTTTATCTAGGGTCTATTATCTTTTAAAGACAAAATATTCTATGCATGTGATTATTTGAGAGACAAGTAAAAACTAAGCAGTCAAAATGGAAGCACTCATTAGAACATGAGCTGGGATATAATCAGTGTTTTCACCGTTCTATATCGTACAGCCTCTCTGCTATCCATCCAAATCTATCTTCTACCACACATTTAAAAATTAGTGTCAGCTGCTTAATAACTAAGACTCTTCAACTATCAAACCTACGTTCTACAACCAATGCACCAGTCGTGCCCCCCCCTCCCCCCCCCGCCAAGACAGGGTTTCTTTGGTTAACAGTCCTGTCTGTCCTGGAACGCTCTGTAGACCAGGCTGATCTCGAACTCATAGAGAGATCCACCTGCCTTTGCTTCCTGAGAGCTGGGCTTAAAAGTGTGTGCCACCATCGCCTGGCTCTGATGCAACATTTTAATGAACAGACCACATACTTGAAAAATAGCCTAAAATTTTTCAGTCAAAAACAAACGGTGTTTTCACTGTTCGTCTTCTTTCCTTCAGATAAACAATCACCAATGTTCCCCTTACATTACAGACAATAGTATCACAAGGATATCTCCAATTTACAGTGGAAAATAAAACTTCAAAATTAATTTCCCGGATAGAGAATTGAGGACAAAGCACAATGCTAAATTCCCCAAAAAGTACTTAGCAACTAAAACAGGTTTTCAAGCATAATTAAATATAAAACTATTCCCCTAGAACCACACTGTCAAGAGCATAAATTATAGTACATTCAAACATTACTGTCCTATCCACATGAATGTAAACCAGCTGTCTCCTAAGACTGTTAACCACAAAGAATATATCTAATCTCTAGTAAATTATAATTAAACAACCTTAGATATAAAAATTAAAAACAAAAGGAGGGAAGAAGTATATATTATTTATGTAATGTATTCTTTTTATGCTATTTTCCTGTAATTATTAACTTTTACTTTAGTTGCTAACTAGGAGTCAGTGAATGAAATATCTTCATAACATTCAATAATACAGGTCACATAATAGCATCTTAGTAACTAAATTAGGAATGATGCGATCTTAACTGACTGATAAATGTCATGTAGAGCACATATATGCAATACATACTTCATGGAGAATCTGTGTATACATGAAACACTTAAAGAATGTCAGTGTATTTGTCTACCTGATGACTAAGTTACGGCAACATCTTTAGCTGTAAAAGCTCTGTAAGTGATATAATTAGAAGACTAATATGAATATAAATTTATGATGTTATTTTAAAACATGCTACTAGTTACTAAGGCATAGTATTATTAAATCTAAGTAAATTCCTTTTGAACACTGTACATAAATCATAAATACTAATACAATCTCTTCCTCTCATACACATACATGCAGACTGTCTCCAGCTGAGTACATTTCAATTTGTTGCTAGTACATTAACTAAAGTTCCTTTGGAAATTTTTTTCTTAAAAGTAACTGATTACTTAAAACTTTAAATGCTACTCATTAAAGCTTGTTAGATGCATTTTTGTTCATGTGGACTTTATTTTTATGGATGAATTAATGTATTCTGTGGCCTTAATGATGCCATCTTATAAATGTTACACTTTTTAAGTAAATGGACACTTAAAAATAATACATTAAAAAGTAGAAACATTTATACTAAAAGTATACATTTCCCGATAGGGCCAGCTTTCTCACCTGGGCTTAACTCTACTAAGTAGGGCAGTTTCTCAGGAGGAAGAGCAGAACCATAGCCAGACCCATCAACTCTGTCCTTCCCCTTCAGCGGCTTCCCTTCAACGTGTTTCTTCATTTTCTTTGGGATATAGTCCGGTGGTCTCCTCTTCAGTTGAAAGACTAAAATCCCTAGAACAGCAACAATAGCAATTGTCAATGGAGCAAATGTGGTAGTGATGATAACTGACTGACAAACATTTGCCCAAACCAAGAACATGGATTTTAATCATATCTGCCAAGGAGTAGAGGAGCAAAGCTCACCCAATTGATATCTTAACTCAGTGTACTCTGAAAAATTCTAAACAAGCAACATGAATAAATTATTTTTAATTGACAGGCAGAGCTACCAAAGGATAGCATATGCTAGTAAACAGCTTGTTAGTTTAAAAATAACGAACCTGCACTTGTAGATAGACCTATCAACATTCATACACAAATACACAAATGATGTGGGATTCCCCTCTGTATGCTGTGAATACCATTGGTTAATAAATTGTCTTGGGCCTACACAGGGCAGAACAGAGCTAGGCAGGGAAAACTAAACTAAATGCTGGAAGAAAGAAGGCGGAGTCAGGGAGAAGCCATGGAGCCCCAGCCAGAGACATTTGAAACTTTGCCAGTAAGCCACAGCCACGTGACGGTACGCAGATTAATGGAGATGGGTTAGTTTAGGATGTAAGAGTTAGCCACAAATATGCTTAAGCTATTGGCCAAACAGTATTGCAAATAATATAGTTTCTGTGTGGTTATTTGGGGAGTCTGGGCAGCCAGGAACACACAAGCAGACTCCGACAACAAACTGATCCCCAACTAAATCCACTTAAAACCTGACTTTGGGAAGAAATTCTAGTAACAAAACAAAACAAACAAACAAGAAACAGAGTTAAACACTCCTTTCAGAGAGGTTTCCCTGAGTAAGTGGTAGTAAATAAAAAGCCGTGCGGTGATGTGGGAGTGTCATATATCAATCTGTTGATTTCATTGGTTAAGTTATAATAAACCAGCTGCTTGGCCTCATGGCTTGGAACATAGATGGGAGGAGTAAACAGAATAGAATTCTGGACGGAAGAGGAAGTGAGGTCAGACTCTGCTCTGCTCCTGGAGAGACTCGACAGCTCTGCTCTGGAGCAGAGACGCCATGCTTGCCATGCTACACTCTCCCAGGATGGACGAAGGCTAGAATCTTCCCGGTAAGCGCACCTTGGGGTGCTTACACACATCATTAGAAATGGGTTAGTCCAGGTGCGAGAATTAGCCTGTAAGGGCTAGAGTTCATGGGCCAAGCAGTTCTTTAAATGAATACAGTTTGTGTGTTGTTATTTCGGGCGTGAGCTAGCCAAGCGGCCGGGGTGTTGGGGACGCAGCCACGCCGCTTCATATTTCAACAGTGCGGTTTTGAAAGAACAGGTTTCTGGGCCGTGCTGCCAGCTAGAACTCTGTCTCTTTCAGGAGGCTGAGCACTTGAATGGGGTTTGTGGGCAGTGTGCTGCAAGTTACTTGGTGGCAGCATGGGCCAACTGCTTCCCAGAGTTGAGGTGGTGAGGATGGCTCCTGCCCGGCAATCTCAGAGGCAGTGATGGGACTTATACCATGTTAGACGGGGCAGAGCAAGCAGGCAGCACTGTATTTGCCCTAGCAATGCCACTGCTTTAGTATTTTAAGGAGGAGTCCTGGTCTGAAATGAATTACAGATACACAGGAAAGGCAAATTCAGATGGAAAAGACCTCTAAGTGGGTCACAGTGTTGGATAAATGTACATAGGCTTGGGAGAGAGAAGAAAAAGAGTATAGAGAGTTGGAAAAATGTAAATTGTTAAAAAAAATAAAGTCTTTAAAAAGAGTACAGACAGCCATAGATTAAAAAAATAAAGAAATAAGGCACATAAAGATGGAAAATACACAGAGTCTGGATTATGTATATTATTGTGTTTTCCTTGAAATTTTGACTGTGAAGGAACTAAGTACAGAGAGATATTTCACTGTACAGACTGTTAAACTAAACCAGCATATATACTCTAAAAGTATCTCGACTTCAAAATTTGGGTCTTAGAATATGTTGCTTTGGAAAAGAGGTTTTTCTTTTGTTTCCACAGAGAATGAGAACCTGTGGAATCCTTCCAGAAGACCCCATGAAAGTTTGCTGTGAACAATACCCCCCAAAAATACTTCGCTCAACAAAAAGCATGAAACAGTTTGGAGAGAACTATGCCCAAATTCTCTAAATGATTGGTTATAAATGTTTACATTTAAAGGTGAATATGATATAAATATGAATACTTTGCATTGGTATGTATCTTGGATTATTAATAAAAATTTAAGGTCAATTTTATTATACTGTATATATGTATTTTTGATCTTGATTAAGGTATTTTGTTTATACGGCTCACTTAAAAATGTAATGTATAATTAGGAAATATAGGTTAATAGAGAGTTATCTATAATAGTCAAGCTTGTAGTCATGTTAGGTTTTCTAGATATAAAGAGATATATTTTAAGTTAGATAATCTTCAAAACTTTCAAAGACCTACAGAATATGGCATTTAAAATATTTTGAGATCTTAGGGCTTTTCATGTGCTCCTGGCAGCACTAATCTACTTCAAGAGGAAGATGGACACTGAAGAGGCTCCTTATGAAGTTTGTTGGCAATTTGGGCAGGGGACTGCTCTTGCCTGGACTGCTGTATGAAATGGACATGCAGGGCCTACAGAGAAATGACAGCTAAACTTGCCTAAAGGTGAGACAACCCTTTAGGCTTCCTGCTTCATGAAAGAGTCTGCTAGACATTCTGCAGGACACAGAAGAAAGTGAATGACAAACTGCCAATATAAGCAGACCTGTCTTTGAAATTTCCTGCTTCATGAAAGTCTGCCAGACACTATGGGCCAGTAGACTTAAGATGGGTGCCCACAACGTTACAGAACTTTGGATGACTGTCCAGTCAGCAAGACGTCTCTGTCAATTCTAGAGTTTTGGAAGTTGCTTACACTGTACTTCCTGTTTACTTAGGTAATATTATATCCTTCTGGAGTCTTTGATGGAGTTGAAGAATATATATAGTTTTCCTTAGTTATAATAAAAGATAAAGTAGATATAAACATTTTAACTGTAATTCTTGCTTGATACTTATTTTGTTAAATGTAATTTTACTATGTGAAAGTTAAAACCTTCCTTTTAATTTAAACAGAAAAGGGGAGGTGACGTGGAATTCCCCTCTATACGAATACCACTGGATAATAAACTATCTTAGGCCTGTGCAGGGCAGAAGAGAGTTAAGGCAGGGAAAACTAAACTGAATACTGGGAGAAAGAAGGCAGAGTCAGGGAGAAGCCATGGAACGCCCCCTCCCCCCCCCCAGACAGACACTGGAAATTTACATGGTAAGCCATGGCCACGTGGTGATAAACAGACTAATGAGATGGGTTAGTTTAGAATATAAGAGTTAGCCAGAAATACATTTAAGCTATTGGCCAAACAGTTATTATAAATAATATAGTTTTTGTGTGGTTATTTCAGGAATCTGGGCAGCCAGGAACACACAAGCAGACTCCTACAACACACAAACATCTCAGTTGATCTGCATTTTATTCAAATGAATTAACTCAAAATTCAAAACAACTTTAAAATAAGGCTTAACTTTTATACCTGTCTAGAATAGTGCAGAATAAGTATTTTAATGAAACTGGAAATGCACTTATTCTTAGGGTTTTTTTTAATAGTTTTAAATTATCAATCTACAGACCATATGATTATTATATAGGATCAGAAAGAATTTTTTTATCTTCATTAATATAAAGGCACTCACCTAGAAATCAACTGTATCAATCTTAATGTTAGAAACTATACTTCATAAAAGCATAGCGTTAAACACTTTGCCGCTTTGAATAGAGAAAAACATCTGACTAGTGACAAATACACACCATTTCAAGTTGGGCATCCCTAAACCAAAAACACCTGAAATCCAAAGTGCTACAAATGAAAACAAACCTCAATACAGGCAGCAGAAGAAACACCAATACATTAATACATTAAAACCTATGGACTAAATTATACGCAGGCTATGTGTATAAGGCAAATATAAACGAAGGTGATGTTTAGACTTGCATCCATCTGTAAAGTTATCTCATTATGAATGTAAAAACACTCAAGTCTGAAATGTTCTGGGATCTGAAACACTTCTGGGTTCTGAGTACTTCTAGTAAGGATTATTCAACCTATATATGAAATGGCTGTATTACTGGAAAAACTTCAGGCTTGTAGGGTACTTTCCCTGCCTAACAAATTTGCTCACATACCACATAACTCATGTGGATCTATGGACATTGTTTCACAGCTCATCGATAACAATGATCTGTCCCTGCTAATAGTCTGGCATTTCACCTGCAATACCATCTTCACATGATACTCAAATACGCTGAGTGCGGCTCCACAGGCAAAGGTACCACCACAGAGATGTTCTACATGTCTATGAAAACATTGGCCAATGCAAAGATACTCCCCCACTGAACCCCCCCTCCTCCCTTACATGCACACACTTTCCTTGTCATCTGATGAACAGGAGTTACCAGAAATCTGGCAGGTTGATACTGAGGAAATCCCCTAGTAATAAAGTTTACTGTCTACCTTTGTCACTTGGCCATTCCCTGAAGATTTGTAAAGGACACTCGTCATCATCAAGAATAACTTCCTTAGCACCTCTTTCATCAGAATGCTGGGCTCCAGGGGGAAGCATAACCTAATGAAAAAATAATTAACAATGAATAAAAAAAGAAGATCAACAAGTACTCAAAAGCAGTACTGCCATTATTTTTGCTCTTACTCTATGGCCCAGGCTAGCCTCAAACTTCCAACCTTCCTGCTTCCTGAGTACTGGTGCAGTCCTGTACCTACCTTGAAAGTACTGCTCCGAATGAGCATGGACAGGTAGACAGACAAGACAGACAGACAGACAGATATATGATAAATAAAACTATCAAGCACTATAAATAATTTCTACTGGTGACAAAATAAAACATTAACAAAGTATAGGAAACCGTTTCAAACAAAAAGTTTACTTGGACAGTGAATTTGGCAATTTTTATTCGCCTAGCTCTTAACAAGAACTGGACTATTTGCATTTATTTATCACAAATTTTCATATGGAAAAACCACACAGAACAGCTAATCTTCAAACAATTTATGGAAAGAGAACTCTTCTACTGAGGTCCTCTGCAGTCCAGTCCCTACTCCATCTTTCACATCCAAGCAAATATTTATAAAGCAAATTCACGTAATCTGAAATCTTTAAAATAGCTTCTATTGTAAATAACTGTATGGTTTAAATTATAAGCAGACTGTTAGGTATATTATATAACCATCAACAACTGTTTTCAGGCAACTGTTTGATGACATTGTGTCCACTGTGCTCTCAGGAAAGACTACATGGGATATGACTGATGCCTCTACAGACACTGCCGAGCTTATCCTTTCTCTTCACTCTGTTCCAGTGTAAAGCAATGCAAGAAGCCAAGCTACTGCTTTCAACTTCTTAATGCAACAAACCTTAGTGTGCAAAATTATCACTATGCTGACACATAAAAGAGATCAAACAATTCTATGGAGATCTATTATTCCTTTTTACAAGGCTTCGAATTAGCTTTAAAGAAAAAGGAATAATAGCATCACTAAGCTACCGTCATCTTTTCTCATTAGCATTTTTAATTACATTCAATATCCTGCCACTTCAAGATTTGACCTTCAATTTTCTCTTTGTCTCTATCTGTAACACTTATTTTTTTAGGCCACAATTTTTTTTTTTTTTAGGTGCACAGATGTACTAAGTGCTCACCAACCAGGCCACATACTTTCTACATCGCAGACCACTCTCTCTAGTCTGAAGATCCTGTTTCTGTTCTCCTGCTTGGCCTTTTGGTCTCCTTCCATCACTGTAAGCTCTTTTGGAGGGCAACTCTTAACTCTGTATTCTGGCAGAATAGCTAACAAACAGAAAAGATCTTAAATACTTAACCAATAATTATCTGAATAGATAAAATGGATAAAGGCTATGAAATAGCTATAGTTTATATGGCAAGCTCAGAATATAATGCATTTCTAATTCAGGTAAATCAGTAACTAGGCTGCCTAAGTTTGCTGAAGAAAGCTGGTCAGGCTAGAGCAAAAGGCCAAAAGTAAAGGAGCTCGTCCAGAGAAATCAAGCTCAAAAAGGACTTTCAACAAAGTCTGTTTCTACAACTCTAGGTCCCTGATAAAATGGTTACTTTACTTTCTGATTTTAACAGTAAAAACAAGCCACTTAGTTTAAGATGGAAATGTTACTGCCTGTACAAGACCAGCATAAGATCGGGTCAGTCAGCATCCCATCACAGAGTGGAGAATGGCTTCCAAGTTCCCACCCCTAGCTAATAGGCTACAGACAGTTGATGACTTCTGGAGGAAGGAGAGTCAGTTTTCTTTAAGGAAATGGTCCCTGAAGTACTGACCATGCTTAGTTGATGGCTCCATACCCATGAATAAATATATTTGAAGCACAAATTGAACACAGTAGGGAAAGGAAGGGAGGGAGGGAGGGAGGGAGGGAGGGAGGGAGGGAGGGAGGGAGGGAGGGAGGGAGGGAGGGGGGGGGGGGGGGGGGGGGGGGGGGGAGGGAGGAACATAAAGTTGAGAAGGGTGGGTTGATGGAGGTGGGTCTTGTAATAATAAAGAAACTGCCTCGGCCCTCATAGGACAGAAAATTAGGTAGGCGGAGTAGACAGAAGAGAATTCTGGGAAAAAGAAGCTGAGTAGTGAGTGAGTCGCCATGAATCTCCCGCTCCAGACAGACGCAGGTTAAGATCCTCCCTGGTAAGCCAGCTCGTGGGCTACACAGAATATTAGAAATGGGTTAGAACAATATGTAAGAGCTAACCAATAAGAAACTGGAACTAGCCGGGCCAGGCAGTGTTTGAAAGAATACAGTTTCCATGTAATTATTTCTGGGCATAAGCTAGCCATGCGGGCGGCCGGGTGCCGGGGACGCAGCCCTGCCGCTCCTATTTCAACAGTGGGTGACAATCTGGGAGGAGCTAGAAGAGTGGGTGGGGATGGGGAGTTGAGTGTGATCAAACTACATTATATGCATTCAAGAAATGCTTAAAGAATAAAAATATTTAAAACACAAAACCCTGAAAAGTCATGATAACATATGTCTAGAACCTCAGTACTGGGAGCAGAGAAAACAGGAGGATCCTAAAGCCCACACACCAGCCCAGCCAAAACACTGAGCTTCAGGTTCAGTTAAGAGAGAGCCTGTTCAGAATGGAAAGTGAAAAACAAAGACACCAAACATCAATCTAGCCTCCTCTTCCTTCTTCCCTCCCTCCCTCTCTCTCTCACACGCATGCACGTGCATACACACTAATGTGGGATTCCCTCTGTATGTTGTGAATATGTTTTATTACCACTGGTTAATAAAGAAGCTACTTCAGCCTATGGCAGGGCAAAAAAATATCAGGCAGGAAATCTGAACGGAGATATATAAAGAGAATAGGTAGAGTCAAAGAGGCCCAAGAAGCAGGAGGTTCCAGTAAGCCACAGCCTCGTGGAGATACACAGATTAATAGAAATGGATTAATTTAAGATATAAGAGCTACCTAGGAATATGCTTAAGCTGTTGGCCAAGCAGTATTGTAATTAATATAGTTTCTGTGTGATTATTCATGTCTGGGAGGCCAGAAACAAAAGAGCAGTCTCTGCTTACACACACAATATATTTCTTTTTAAGTTACTTGCTGTAATAAAACAGTGATCTTTGTTTTAAAATCTATTAGGATTTATTTCTTTCTGCTTCCTGACTGGGGATAAAATGTGACCAGCTGCCTCACATTCCAGCTGCCATGCATTTCTACCACAATGGACTGTATCCTCAAACCATGAGCAAAAATAACCCCTCCTTTCCAAAGCAAAATAAAATTACTGTCAGCTATAATTGGCCAATACTGCATTCAATAAAGTGTACAATTACAACTGAGTCAGAGGCTAAGCATTTCTAATTAGTTAATGGATAAATAGAAAATCTTCTGCATTTTACTTAATGTTACAGAATCAATTCTAGGACATAAACAACTACTATATTTGTTGATAACTAGAGTCGTCACAGAAAGGTAGAGTACCTCTGAGAAGATGCAGGTGGTTATGAAATCAGATTTTAATATAAATACAATGGTTGCCTCTGCTGGCTGATGCTGAAGGTGGAACACACGGGATTGAGAGAGCCGTAAAGTACACTGCTGACATGTTGTAGGTGCACTTTCATTGTTGGCTGACCTACCAGCTCAAGTGGGGAGACCAGCCCTGAATTTGATGCCAAGAGGCTGGGTCCCCAGATGAAAGAAAAGGGGGGATGAAGAAGGCAGACACCACATGCAAGCCCCACTCTTTGTGGACATGTCCACAGTGAAGTCGCTGCCTGTGGTCATCACATCCGAGCTTCTTCAAGTCTTTCAACAGAGGGTCAGAGGAGCGGCTCTCCAAGGAGCTATCAGATCTTCACCCTCAAACGAGGACTGCATAACTGGACCCTCTGTGTGTATACAGATCTCCACATCTTGGACTGAAACGCTACCAGGTTTTCTGAATCTCCAACATGCAGCATTGTGAGTCTATTTTACTTATATATAATACTTATATATAATGGGTGTGTAATTATATAAGTATTATATAAATTGGTTGTACTCCTCTATAACTCTGACTCACTTGATATATGTACAAAATAAAAATTGGAAGAATGTCTATCAAAATGTTAATGATGAAATTACCTTTTGGTATATTTTTGGGTTATGTTTTATTCAATTTTTCTTTTTTTAAAGAACACCTGTTACTTTTTGTTGCATTTATTATTCCCATATGTGCATGTAAGTGGGGGGGGTCGTGCATGTGAATGAATACACATACACACACACACACAAACACACCTCAAATTAGAAAACAAAATAAAAAAAAAAACCTTTCCTTTAAATGCAAAGTCTTGGCAGGAATAATCCTGAGGAGCAGTATTAATTCATGGTTCATACCCGGGCAATGCAGTAGTCCTTGGGATTCTCTTTTTCCAGACCATACTTTTCCAAAGATTCTGCTACAGCAAAGTCTGCGGAATCTGTAGTAGACAGCAGGATTGTCTTGTATGGAATATTTGGTTTTAAACTATCTGCATATATTCTCAATGTTCCACCTGGAAAAAAATTATTTTACATCTTTGAGTTCATCTTCATTTTAAGTCAATGACATGAGCTGCTACCCATACACAATCACCTATGAAGAGGGCACTAAAGTACCAACAACAGTGGCACAAATACATTCAGTATCAACCTGGGGCTGGCTTCCTCTACAGGGAATGAGGAAGAAGGGCTCCTGAGTTTGACTGTGGTACAGTTCTCTTACTTTCCCTGTTCCCAACTTCCCCTACATCTGTATACTGTGAGGACTATTTCCTCACAAGATATTCCATGACAAAAAAACAGATTTAAACAATATGTAACCACAAACCCAGCCTTAAGAGAAAGTACTAGAAGGAAAACCCCAACGAAAGGAAGCTAACTGCACCCACAAAAACACAGGCATCTGATAACCCCCCACCAGCATAACCCAAAGAAGGGAAACACACAAACACTACTACTGAAAAATAGCAGGAATTAACAACCACTGGTCATTAGTAACTCTTAATATCAATGGTCTCAAATCACCTATAAAAAGACAGACTAAGAGAATGGATACATAAACAGGATCCAGCATTCTGTTGTGTATAAAAAACACACCTGTCTCGAAAACAAAACAAAACAAAAAAACATACCTCAACCTCAAAGACAGACGCTACCTCAGGGTAAAAAAATGGGAAAAGGTTTTCCAATCAAATGGACCTAAGAAACAAGCAGATATAGCTTTCCTAATCTAATAAAATTGATTTCAAATTAAATTAAGTCAGAAGAGATGGAGAAGGGCACTTTTTACTCATAACAAGAACAATTCATCAAGATGCAGTCTCAATCCTGAACATCCATGCCCCTAATACAAGAAAGAACACCTCCATATGTAAAAGAAACATTACTGAAACTTAAATTGCACATCAAACGCCACACACTAATAGAAGACTTCAACACTCCACTTTCGCCAATGGACATGTCAACCAGACAGAAACTTAATAGAGAAATAAGAGAACTAATAGATGTCATGAATCAAATGGACTTATCAGACATCTACAGAACATTCTATCCAAACACAGAAGAATATACCTTCTTCTCAGCACCTCATGGAACCTTCTCTAAAATTGATCACATTATCAATAACAAAGCAAACCTCCACACACAGAAAAAAATTGGAGTAAGCCCCTGTGTCTTATCAGATCACCATGGATTAAAGTTAGAATTTAACAATATTACTCTCAGAAAGCCTACAAACTCATGGAAATTAAACAGTGAACTACTGAACCACCTCTGGGTCAAGGAAGAAATAAAGAAATTAGAGACTTCCTTGAATTCAACGAAAATGAAGGCACAACATATCCAAATCTATGGGACACCATGAAAGCAATGCTAAGAAAAAAGTTCATAGTACTAAGTGCCCACATAAAGAAAACAGAGAAAGCTCACATAATTATTTAATAGCACACCTCAAAGCTCTAGAACAAAAAGAAGTAGATTCACCCTGAAGGAGTAGAAGACAGGAAATAATCAAATTGAGGACTTAAATCAACAAAATAGAAACAAAGAAAACAATACAAAGAATCAACGAAACAAAGAGCTGGTTCTTTGAGAAAAATCAACAAGATAGACAAACCCTTATCCTAACTAATCAAAAGGCAGAGAAAAACATCCAATAGACAAACCCTTATCCTAACTAATCAAAAGGCAGAGAAAAACATCCAAATTAACAAAATCAGAAATGAAAAGGGGACATAACAACAGACACTGAGGAAATTCAGAGAATCATTAGGTAATACAAAAACCCGTATTCCACAAAATTGGAAAATGTAAAAGAAATGGACATTTTTTTAGAAAATACCATATACCAATATTAAATCAAGACCAGGTGAGCAATTTAAATAGACCTATAAACTGTAAGACCTATAAATTTAAATAGAAGCTGTCATCAAAAACCTCCCAACCAAAAAAGGCCCAAGGATGGATGGTTTTAGTGCAGAATTCAACCAGATCTTCCAAGAAGAGCTAAAACCTATACTCCTCAAAGGGTTCCACATAACAGAAACAGAAGGATCATTGCCAAACTCTTTTTTTATGAGGTTACAGTTACCTTGATACCAAAACCACACAAAGACTCAAGAAAGTGAATTATAGACCAATCTCACTCATGAACATTGATGCAAAAATACTCAATAAAATATTGGCAAACCAAATCCAAGAACACATAAAAAAAAAATCATCCACCATGAACAAGTTGGCTTCATTCCAGAGATGCAGGGCTGGTTCAACATATGAAAATCTATCAATGTAAACCATCATATAAATACTGACAGAAAAAAACCGTATGATCATTTCATTAGATGCTAAAAAAGCATTTGACAAAATCCAACACCCTTTTATGATAAAGGTCTTGGAGAGAACAGGAATACAAGGAAGAGATCTAAATATAATAAAAGCAATATATAGCAAGCTGACAGCCAACATCAAATTAAACGGAGAGAAACTCAAAGCGATTCCACTAAAATTGGGAATAAGACAAGGCTGTCCACTCTCTCAATATCTCTTCAACATAGCAATAGCAGTAAGACAACAAAAGGAGATCAAGGGGATTCAAATTAGAAAGGAAGTAGTCAAACTTTTGTTATTTGTAGATGATATGATAGTGCACATATCCCTAAAACTCTACCAGAGAACTCCTACAGCTGATAAATACCTTCAGTGATGTGGCAGGATACAAGATCAACTCAAAAAAAATCAGTAGACCTCCTAAACACAAAGGATAAAGAAGCGGAGAGGGATATCAGAGAACCACCACCTTTCACAATAGCCACAAATAACATAAAATATCTTGGGGTAACACTAGCCAAAGAAGTGAAAGACCTATTTGACAAGAACTTTAAATCTCTGAAGAAAGAAGTTGAAGAAGATACCAGAAAATGGAAGGATTCCCCATGTTCTTGGATTGGTAAGATCAACATAGTAAAAATGGCAATTCTACCAAAAGCAATCTATAGATTCAATGTAATACCCATCAAAATCCCAACACAATTCTTCTCAGACACAATAACCAACTTCATATGGAAAAAAAAAAAAAAACAAAACAGGATAGCCAAAACAATCCTGTACAATAAAGGAACTTCCAGACGCATCACCACCCCTGACATCAAGCTCTATTACAGAGCTACAGTAATGAAAACAGAAAAAGGCAGCCTACAGAATAGGAAAAGATCTTCACCAACCCCACATTAGACAAAGGTCTGATCTCCAAAATATATAAAGAACTCAAGAAATTAGACATTAAAATGCTAAATAACCCAACTAAAAAATGGGGTACTGAACTAGACAGAGAATTCTCAATAGAAGAATCTCAAATAGCCAAAAGATACTAAAGGAAATGTTCAACATTCTTAGTGATCAGGGAAATGCAAATCAAAACAACTATGAGATACCATCTTACACCTGTAAGAATGGCTAATGGCTAAGATCAAAAACACCAATGATAGCTTATGCTGGAGAGGATGTGGAGTAAGGGGAACACTCCTCCATTGCTGGTGAGAATGCAAACTTGTACAACCACTTTGGAAATAAGAATGGCGGTTTTCAGAAAATTGAGAATCAACCTACTTCAGGATCCAGCAAGATCACTCTTGGACATATACCCAAAAGATGCTCAATCACACTACTAAGACATTTGTTCAACTATGTTCACAGCAGTATTATTTGTAAGAGCTAGAACCTGGAAACAACCTAGATAGCCCTCACCCAAAGAATGGATAAAGAAACTCTGGCATATTTACACATTAGAGTACTAAGCAGCAGTAAAAGTCTGAAGCTGAGGCTAAATAGAAAAGTTTGCTACATCCCAAACTTAAAACTGGTAGCTTATTAACAAAATATAAAGAATTTTTCCATCAAAATACTATCAATGACTATAGAAAATAAATACTGGGGGCGCAGGCTATCTGATACTCAATAAGCTTACTATTTTCTTAAAAACATCAATGTTACATTCAAGTCCTCATTAGAAGATACTGCCACTAAGCATGCTGTATCTAGATACTCTCAGCCAGCTTATCTCTTATGACTCACACACGTCTGCGCTACCTAAATATTCCTCAGGTGGAAGCACGATTTCATTTTCCAAAGTTCATGTATGTAACCATGTCAGACTCCTTCCTGCAATGCAAAACTATCTTCAGGCTTGGCATGTAGTTAGTATGCATAAGTATCTCTCAGTGGTCCTTTTGTTACCAGTGTTCTTCCTTGTTTTCCTCTGCCTCTCTAAATCTTTTTTTTTTTTTTTTAAGTTTACAAGACAGGCATTCTCTGTATGGCTCTGGCTTTCCTGAAACTTGATCTGTAGACCAGGCTAGCCTGGAACTCAGAGATCCACCTGCCTCTGCCCCTCAAGTGCAGGGATTAAAAGTGTGGGCCCCCACTGCCCAGATCTCTCTAAACATGTTTTTCTTTTTCTGTACATAAGTTTTGGTGCATAAGATAACAAGACAGTATATACCTAAACAAAGTCTTTTGCATCTCCAAAGTACTTTGTCAGAATAATTATGAAACAAAGAAGCCCCTTGTTCTCCTCAACTCTGTGTGTTTGCTTCTGAGCAGATCTTAATACGTAGCCCAAGCTGACCCCAAACCTCTCAGCCTCTGCCATGGTTTGAATGTGAATGTCACAGACATTTGAACATTTTGGTCACCAGCTGGCTGACAGTGCTGTTTGGTAATGTTGCTGAACCTTTAGGAGAGTGAACTCTCCCTGGAGGAAACTTATCACTGGGAGAGTTTGAGGCTTCACAGTCCAGTCCCACTTCTGTTCACTCTTTGCTTTCTAAGCACAGATGCAATAGGACCAGTCAGGCTGCTACTCATGCTATCATGATGCTGCCCGCCATGTGCTCCTCACCATGACAGACTATATACCCTTCAAAGTGCTTTTGTATAGACATTTTATCACAGCAATGAGGAAATAACTATCACACTGCTAGGTTTATAGGCATGCACTCCCCAAACTGGCTTATAGTTTGTTTTTTCTCTTATAATCATTAACACAACAATTCCTATAAAGTATCCAATTAAGAATTCAAGGCACTGAAGGCTGAAACAAGTTTATAATGCTAAGGCAGCAAGAGAGCTATAGGGCCTACTCTCCTCCACAGCTCTGGGCTAGTGAACCTTTGCAATCAAACCTACTATACAGTCACAGGGTAGAAGCAGGTGAACTTGCACTGCTGGAGTCTACCCTCTGAGTGAAGCTGAGAGGACTGTCTGAAAACACAGGCATGAAGCACAACTGCTACTCCATACATATCAGACGACTGCTGTGACAGTCTGGAAAGGTAGGAAAATCCTTTTGCTAAGACTCGGATTGGAGAGAAAAAGTCCAGAATGAAGTGATTTTTCTCAACATGAGCTATTATTAAGAAGGCTGTAAAGAAATTCTACACATCCCACCTTCAGAATCTTCTCACTATCAAGTTAGCTAGCTCTGCAGTATCCTGGATAGCATTGTAGTGCCCAAGTAGCAAGCACCTGGAAGGTAATGTTAGAACACAAATAGAGGTGATGACGTTAAGACTAAACTTTGAGGGGTTACAGTAAGATTAGTGATATAGCCCTCTAATACAGTTATTTCTTTCTGAAACTCAAAATGGTTGTCCTATTACTTTTTAAGAAGTAAAACTACTTTAAAACAAGTATTTTCTTTGCTGGATACAATTCCCAGTTAGGTGTAAGTCAAAGTTTTATTCAAACAGTTAACAATACAATGATGCCAACTATTTCAACTCTCTTTATCAAATCTACTTCCCACAGAAACACTAAGCAACTGCAAAATACTATGAAGAAAACAAGGCAAGAAAATCCTGTGCTAATACAGCCTGCACTGCCATGTACAGCAACAGAAGCCACATTCCTTTAAATGTATTGCATTTGTACAGGGGCAAAACTCTAAAGTAAAGAAAATAAAACAAGCTGGGTGGTGGTGGCACACACCTTTAATCCCAACACAAAATCACAAAAGTTTAAAGGAAGAAGGGCTACTTGCACACTATCTCCAAGGCAAAGGAACAGATCCTTCCCCACGTCCCCATGAAAGAAAGCCACTGAAACCACAGGCGTTATCAACTGGCTCCAGGAGTGACTCATAAACCAAAGGAAAACAGATGCAGTGAACTTCAAATTGATGCGGAAGAAATCTTAAACCCAAGTTCATGAGAAAGTTTTAATAATCACTGGTCAACCTTGGAGGACACTAAAGAAAATATTCTTGTCACACCAATAGCTTCATTTACACCTGTATCTATATCCTAATCAAGAAAACAAAAAACAGAAGGGAAAACAATAATGAGCATCAGAGGATGTCACTAAAATACATGAGACAAAAAAACCTAGTGCCTTAGGTAAGGCTTCTATAGATGCAAACAACACCATAAGCAAAAGCAACTTGGGGAGGAAAGGGTTTATGTCAGCTTACAGCTGTCCATCAATTACTGAGAAGTCAGGGCAGGAACGTAAGAGCAACACCAAAGCAGAGACTATGGAGGATCCCTGCTTACTTACTTGCTCCTCATGGCTTGCTCAACCTGCTTTCTTTTACAGCCCGAAACTACCAGCCTAGAGGTAACAACACCCACAGCAAGCTGGACACCCCCACACATCAATCATTAATCAAGACAATATCCCAGAGACTCGCCTACAGGCCAATCTTATGGAGGCATTTTCTTAACTAAGATTCCTTCTTCCCAAATATGTTTAGGCTAGTCCATAAAAGCCAACCAGCACACCTAAGTTTTTAACAAAACAACAAAACACAAAGGAAACTAAAAGGGAATTCTAGAATGACAGACTTGAAATTATATAAATCGTGTACGTGTGTGTGTGTGTGTGTGTGTGTGTGTGTGTGTTAGTGTTGGTGCAGGAGTTATATTTTATTATGAAGCTTCACTCTTCATGAAAATGTACTAAAATATAAAGAACTAGTAAGTGTGTAATCTGTCTCAAGTTTGGTACTTACAAAGCAACACATAGTGAAAGAAAAGAATGTGAGTTAATAATTTTCAAGACTGTGGTAATTATCTTTCCTGTCTTTAGTCTATGTTTAATGTTTTCAGGGTGGAGGCGTGGAGGAAAAGGGCCATGTGGCTAAGTATGTGACTGATGCCATCTCTAAATAAGAAGAATTCTGTGAGACATACATGGGACATATTTGCTACTAAAAGGCTACTTCACCTTTTTCTAGTGTAAGAAATACATTTATAAGAAGTACAATTGAATACATTCCACTATGAATATGAAGAAAAGCAATTCTCTCTGTACCTGAGTCAGGCCGCCCATCTGAGCTCCGAAACTCTTGCATTCTTTTCTCAAGTTTTTGCTGCCGCCGCCGTTTCATTACTACCTCAGGATTAGAAATTGTCCGAGTAAAGCTCGTTTCAGGCATGTCTTTGTAAACTTCAGCAGCCAGTCGAGAATTCTCGCTGTAAGAAGAAAAGATCACCAACGATATTTTAAACATTTTTTCCTCTCAGAAATACATACATCACAATGGCAAGTGTAATCTGTGTACATCTGTTCCCGTATAGGCCTGTTGTTTACTACTTACCATGTGATAATTACCATGAGATTAAAAACACAGTTTTTCAGTAAGGTGGCAGTGCATGGCTTTAATCCCAGCACTCAGGTGGCAGAGGCAGGTAGATCTGAGAGTTTAAAGCCAGTCAATTGTACAAAGTGATGGGCAGAGACTGAATATAAGGTATAATGAAAAAAAAAAAAAAAACAAACCAAATACTTGAATAAATTTTAACAATATCAACATAATTATAACCAATATGTAATCATAAAATAATTTATCTCCAAATAAGTCACACTTTAAACTATCAGGTTAAATGATTTTATTCATCTGAAATAGTTCATTTTCTAAACCAAATAATGTACCTCTCATAAAGCAAACCAAGGAAAGAGCAAGCCACATGGTGTCCTATTTAAATTTTCCCTTTTCTAGGATGCTTTCCATACAGGAGCAGCATGTCCATTCACCTTTTCTCTCTTGCATAACTCCATTAAATAAGCCTACTTTATACTATTCACAATCAACTACACAGGCATCACCTCATAAGAGGCTACATCTACAACAGAGTTTCTGCGATAAAAACAGGATGTCCAAGCTGCATCTCAATTTGAGAAGGAATATCTGTTCAGTGGCCTAGTCCTACCAACTCTGGTCAGTTTATATGAGCAAAATATAGAACCATAATTGCTTCAAAGTCACAGAAACGAGTTTCAAAGGACTAGCTGAAGACATAAGGACAACTGAATTTGGTGGTCTTCTCAGAAAAAAACATTAACTAGTGTTTGCCTAAAGTGAACAGAGTCTTCCTCTCTTGAGAGGGCTACCTGCTACAAAAAAAAAAAAAAAAAAAAGACAAGTTTCCAAAATAAACCTGGCAGTATCATTCAGCTTTGCCATCATTTACCCATCACTGAGTCAGGTTTGCTGTATTATACACACTTGGTTTGTAGCACACACAGTGGCAAAAATATTTCCAGAAAGACCTACCTGTCATCCCCTTGTGAAGGCCTTTCTTCCTTATCAGAGGCTTGTCTCAGTGCCTCTTTTTCTCTCTTCTTTTTTTCCTTCTTTTCTTTCTTTGAAAGAGTTCTCTTGAAGTTCTGAATGACGCCTTCTTTGTCCTGCTTCTCAGGTCCATTACTCTGAGCCTTCTGGTAAAAGTAACATCATCAGCCCACTAACCATGACCCAGGATCCACACCGGCTCCTCAGGCTCCACTACTGCCTTCACCGCAGAAGCCAAACAAGTAAACAAACTCAAACAGGAAGGGGCCAGGGTGGGGAGAATAACACTGTAAAATCTGTCACAACCAAGCAAACTGTACGCTCAAGATGCATACATTTCACCATATGTAAATCTCACCTCAATTTAAAACTAACAAGAAAATAAAAATCCAAATTCACACACAAAATAGGGTGCAATAAAAAATGGAAAGAAAGAAAATGGGATGCAAATCAGGAAATCTGATTTTTAATAAGTAAAACTCAAAAGTTACCATAAAGTAACTTGAGAGAAGGTAATCTACTGGAGATGAGGAGGAAAAGGTCTACTGAGTATGTTTCTACTGCAAAAGAGATGCTAGCAGTAGCTATCTATAAGCTAATTTTCATGAACCAAAGTTGTAACTATTTCTGGAAAATGTTTGATTTATTTTACTTATCTTGTTATTAATTGCGTATCCTCGTTTGAATTTTTTTTTTTGTTTTTGTTTTTGGTTTTTTTTTTTTTTTGTTTTTCAAGACAGGGTTTCTCTGTAGCTTTGGAGCCTGTCCTAGATAGTACTCACTCTGTAGACCAGGCTGGCCTTGAACTCACAGAGATCTGCCTGCCTCTGCCTCCTGAGTACTGGGAATAAAGGTGTGCACCACTACCACCTGGCGTTAGTCTGAATTTTTAACCTATAAAATTGTCCTGTTAACACACAAAGCTACATTATTTTTAAGTAGTTTAATACATAAAGAAAAATAATAGTTATGATGTGGAAGAGGGGAAAAACAAAGCTTTGTTATGAGGTAAATGAAAAAACATTATTATTATTATTATTCCATTTTTTCTTTCATAGATACTTAGGACATTGTACTGGTAAGAAAAGTTCATACGTTCCAGTAAGGGTCAGTGGTCAATAGCAAAGTAAACAGATGGGAATAACAGCAGCTGCAATGAGGGTATAAAGCAAGGATAGCAAAGCCATGGAATCCATTCTACTTTACACATATTTGCCACAAATTAACCACCAGAACCTAGTGACGAGGAAGACCAAAAGCATTTCTGTTTAGCTATCCAGGATAGCACACAACATGGACACGAGACAGCAGGAAACTCCTTTCATAAGGCGAAAATTTAGACAATATTTTCAACCTCTGTATTTGCTATTACTTGTTAATACCAAAATGTTACATAAGATGCCACTCAACTGAGCATACAACTACACACTTTCCAGTTATCTCAGTGGAGTATGATGTAATCCTGCCTCCAGGACTGCCCCAGGAAATGAGTCAAAGCAAACCCTTACTCCTTTACATGTTTTCTGTCAGGCTAGCTTATCATAGCAACAAAAGAGCAACTGCAACAGTCTACCACACCACCCAAAAACCCAAGGACGTTTTCTGACTCCTCATCTTGACTCCTCATATCTCATCAATATGAAAATGCATTAAATGTGCCTTAGGAAGCTGCACATGCAAGTGGGTACTCAACATTTCCTCTGTCCTTTTTATTTCCTACAGGAACAACTTTGATTCTATAATTTGGAAGAAAGATAAAAATGACAAATTGGTTATCAGGGTTTTCTCAAAAGCATATAGAACTTTCTTCTTGAACAATGGGTGAACTAAAAGATAAAACAGGTAGAAAAGGGTGTTTCCCAAGTGTGTTTTTGGAGGTAAAAGACTATAGGAAAAAGAGAAGCTCCTATGGCAGAACATAGCCTTGTTCATTCCACTGACCCAGCCCTGGACTGCAGCTGGCATCAGACACAGGGACTGCTCCCACCTTGGCAGGAATGGCGTCATTCTCATTCTTAAGGACGAATCGACCTTCCCGATCATCTTTGTTCCAGTTCAACTGCACAACTAGAGGTTTCTCATCAATGTCTAATCTTCTTTCTTCTTCAAAACATGAAATGAAAAAAAGAAAAAAGAAAAAGCCGTGGTCATTTCATGGCAGAAACACAATATCTGCCATAAGAGATAACTTTAATTTATGCACATAAGATACTTAAGTCCCTCAATTACCTGCTGATAGATTGAAATGCACTGTATATAATCTCAAATCACTTTGAAACAGTCCAGCACCTTGAAGCTACTGCTCTACCATGCTAGACACTGACCAGGTAAAATATATTGTTAAGAATGTCAAATCAGTTTTAATTAGTAGGCTATTTTGTTGCTAGTGTGTTTGTCATGGTAGATTCAGTGCCAGACACTGACCAGGAAAGAATACTTCCTTTATTCTGATCTAACTGAGGAAACTAAAGAGATGAACATTTCTATATATCCAACTATCTCATATACAACTACAAGATAAGGAAATCACGTTGATGGTACATACAATCCCACTGATGCCTCAGATCTTCCTTATCAAGAAATGGCAACAGGCCCATCACCTGTCTCCAGTGATAGATGCATTAGTCTTCCCCTCAATCAAAGTGTCCTCTGACCTCCAAACACATACTCCATGACATGTGCACACTACCCCAATAATATTAAACAAATAAATAAATAATCAATTTATTTTCCCTATGACTGAACCAAGGGTTGGACCCAGGCGTTAGCCCATGAAAGCAAAGCAGATAAGAAGTGGGGCCCAGAGACAGTAGGCCACAAACAAGCTCTGATATGTGTAAGGGGCAGATGTACCTACCAGACACTAAAAGAACCCTGGCTCCAAGTGAGCTCCTGTTCTATAACATCTGCTGCAAATGTTCTGCCAGTATTGTGCGGATGCAAAAGGAGGCCCTGTGCCAGAGAAGCTCACCAGATTCAGGAGGCACAATTCTCATTAGTGTTGTTATAATCAAGAATAAAATACAAAGTTTAGTTTTCCTTTCATTTATATGTACTATTTTTTAGAAAGCTAACCAAGTCTTTGTTAAATATTAACTATTTGAAACTACATAATACAAGGAAGTGCTATGTGTTCTTTATGGCCAAATAATTCACTATCCAAAGATTGTACTCAGGTGCTGAGGCTAGAGAGATAGCTTGCCTAACATGCTTGAGACCCTGGCTTTAATTCACAGCATGAAATAAAACGGAAAACAAAGAGAACAAAGAAAGAAGATAAGGAAAAACACGTGAAGAGCTTTTTGAAAACTTATAATCATAATTTTAAAACTCAACTTCTAATTTTTCATATTATTCTAAGGCCCTTGGTGGTGATATTCGAATAACCAAACAGGCTGAACAGAAGTTTCTTTTCTTGTTATCCTATTTATAGAGGTGTGCAGGTCAAAGAAAACATATCTCCAAGAAAATCACCTGGAACGGAGAACACCCTCTGCTGCTGATTTTAATCTGGTTAAAATTTACACAGGGAGTCATAAAGTAATAAATATGGACCATATCATACATTCCTGAAAAAAGGTGTGTAACACTTGAAAATCAACATTATCAAAAACATTCCAATCTTATTTCAAATGTACAAAGAAAGCTGTATACATAAAAATAAAGAAAAAATATGTCTCAAAAACTTTATAGCTGAAAATTAAGATGTACTGAAATTGGTGTTGTGCCATATATAACCCTTTTTAGCAATATTTGTTGTACTTAAAACTTTTTAATACGTTATTAAACATTTTCAAAAGTATCTATAAAATATTTACATTTTTGCATTTCTAGTCAGCCTAACTTGTGGTATTGAGTTGCAAGACACTTTTATTAACTGCTGTTATACAGCAATTTTCTGGGGGAGAAAACCTCCATCTTGAAGAAAAACACATTAAGACAAAGAGTCTGCAAAAGAGATGTCAAACACTCCATCCCTACAGGGAAGCACAACTCAACAGCTTCAGGAAGTCCCTAAAACTGATCAGACTCTCTAGGCTCCCTACCTCTACAAACATATATATGCAGTAAGGACTACTGAGATACTCTCAGACAAATTAAGCTAAAACTCTGACTAGCTAAGCTACAAAGGAGCAGAGACCAGTCAACCTGACCAGAAAGAGCAACCTCCAATCTGTTGAGATTTGTGGTACGTTACAGCTTTTCAGCGTTCAAGAGCTGTCACCCATACGAGATTGGGCTTTTTATGACATAGCTGTCTTCGAGTCATTTCTGCTCTTATAAATAGCCCCCTCACTCATATTCCTCTAAGTAAACTCCCCCAAAACTCAATGGTTCATCAAGATGGACTCTGGTCTATTGTTGATTCTCTATCTGGGGTAAGTAAATATTTGCTCATGTCTCCCCAGTAATAATCTCACGCAACAACTGCTAATGTTAAAACAAGCAGAAATTACAAAATATATAAGGAGATTTTCCTCAAGATGTCCTACTGTTTCCAAAGAATAAAAAAGTGCTGTTAACAGAATGCAAAAATATATGGCAAGATCACTGATTTAACCTATACAATATTTATCTGAGTTACAAGTAACCATGGCATTATCATCTATAGCTGAATTTTATACAAAAGCATGTAGCACACACTGCTATTGATATATAAGACAGAAAGGTTGGGCAAATCTTTTTAATGAAATGTTAATGGCATTTATTTTAAAGAAATAATTGTTGGGCTGGTTATTTTAAAGAAATAATCATTGGCTCAGAAGTTATGAGCACTGACTGCTCTTCCAGAGGTCCTGAGTTCAATTCCTAGTACAACATGGTAGCTCACACCATCAGTAATGAGATCTGGTGCCCTCTTCTGGCCTGAAGGCATAGATGCAAGAAGAACCCTGTATACATAATCAATAAATAAGTCTTAAAAAAGAAATAATCATATATAAAATGTTATCATAACTTCTAATAGTTATATACAAGAATTTGAACAGTTGCCATCCTGCCAATGACTGTTTGACACGGTAAAGAAAGAAAAAGGAGTCGAGCAGCAAGCCTGGGACCGGATTATCACACTGCACAAGCTATGACCCCAGGTCAGGACACAGCCTCCACTGACCTCCACTGACATGCACTTCATAGAGGGAATATTTGGGAGAGGACAGCATGCGCATATCAGGGCGGAACTTCTCTGCCAGTGTTTCAATCACATCTTGAGTGGTTGCCGTGCTAGATACCCGAATGCATTTTGTTGCAAAGTTTCCAGCAGCTTTATCTTGAAAATAAAATCTCATGACTCCATGAAACTCCAGATCCTACAAGAAAACAAAGTATGTTACTGGAGAAGTTGCTCTGAAAATATTCAGTTCTTAGTAACAATAAATAAAAAGACTATCCATCAGCTGTTTTTTTTTTCAAATGTTTATCACAAACATCTTAGAAGGTAAATAATAGATTTTTAGTATTCAAATGTGATTTTGGACAAGTTGTCTAGAACAGCATTGCTTAACCTGGAAGTCGAAGGACCCTTTCACAGGGGTTACCTACAACCATCAGAAAACACAAACATAGCAAAGTTACAGTTATGAAGTAGCAATGAAAACAATTTTATCGCTGGTGTTCACCACAACACGAGGAACTATACTAACAGGTTGAAGCATCAGGAATGTTGAGAACTACTAGTCTAGAGTCTTTACCTTACCTGTCACATATAAAACAAAGGCAGTAGAGCAGCTGGTATCAACAGCAGCTGATATTTACTTAGTTCTTAGCCAGTGTCACGCATAGCATGGCATACATTGCTTGTCTTTACAACCATGCTGTTTAACAGATACTATTACTAAACCCCTCTTCAAGATCTCACCATTGAGCGTATGATTGTGCACATCTGTAATCTTAGATTTGGGAGGGATGCAGAAGGTTAGGGGGTTCAAGGCCAGCCTGTAATAAATTCTATCTCAAAGAAGGGAGAAAATGCCAGCTAACAGAATTAAAACCAAGAATCACTGCCTGGAAAGCCCATACCTGCACTGCCAAAGTCTGCCCACCTCTAAGCTCTTAAAAATACCCAACATTTCCCTAATCCCAATAGTAGCATTTTAAATAAGGATATTTTAAACTCATTTTCTATATGAATTATCATACTAAATGAACATTTCAGGTAGATCTTAATCTTATGGAGAAAAGTGAGGATGGATTTCCAGCCTAAGGTGTTTGGTTTCACATTCTCCCCTTAACTCTAAGATAAGCCAAAGTTCATACAACTGTGAGCCTCCTTTTTATTTTCTTAACAAATACAGTAATTTCCAACAAAATTCCAAAAGATATGTTGCATCCAAGTATAGGTCATATCCATGTCTCTAGCAGGAATAAAGACTTAGCTGTGCTATTAACACCATAGATTCTTCTTTCTGTTCGCCCTTTGCATCTAATTATAAAATCAGAAACTGAGCAGGGGTAAAGCAAAGTCTTTTCATTTATTTATTGAAGGGGGTGGTACACACATACCACTTGTGTTTCAGTTGAGATCAAGGACAACTTGTAACAGTCAGCTCTCTCCTCCTACCATGTCCAGATATGAAACTATGTCACCAGGCTCAGTGACAATTACCCTGACATGTTGACCTTTATGCTTTCTTTGTAGGAGCTTTCCCTTCTCTCGGAAGTCAAATTCTCACTCCATGACCAATAAATCTCTCCAGTTTTCCCCCAATTAACAACTATTTCTGCAGATATTAATGAATGAAAAACACTAACAAAAAGTAGGGGCTTGAAGAGATGACTCAGAGGTTAAGAGCACTGGCTGCTCTTCTGGAAGTCCTGAGTTCAATTCCCATCAAACAACATAGTGGCTCACAAACATCTATAATAAGATCTGATGCCTTCTTCTGGTGTAAAGGCATATATGCAGGTGGATAAATTATCAGAACCAGAACCTGAAAATTAACGCTAGTAACATTAACACTGTCTACAGGCCAGCCTCTGTATCAAATACTCTTACGGGCTATTTCCTCATCTCTCTTTCATCCTGTCTCTGTTTCAGACTCCCTCTTTCCCCCTAGCCCACTGGACTTATTTAAGTGCCTTCCACTTCAGTTTCTGGTCTCCTCTCTACAAGTTTCTAAGATACCACAGGGGGGGGGGGGGAACAGAATAAAACCAAGTTATAGAAATCTAAGTTTCTATATGGGAGCCCTATTTTCACCACAAGTTTACAAGATTTTTCCTACCACCAGCCTGAAGACATATTATATCACAAGTATCCCAAACACTTGCACTACTGTCCTGAGGTCCCAAAAGCTCTCTTTAGTAGGTGTCACACCATAAGTGCAGGTTAATGTCCATAGCACTTAAGCATTCTGCTACCAAGCAATCTGTCCCATTTATAATAATAAAACAAGTCAGATGTACCTGTCAAGAAGGCATCAGTTTCTCTGAGAACTAGCAAGTAAATCAGTTGGTAGTAAAGAACCAAACCAAGCAAACAAAGGAAAACAAAAAACCACGTAGACACAAAACCTGCTAGTAGTAGGCAAGGAAAGCACGCTCTCCAACATCCCAAGGAGAACCAACTGTTTTTAGATAGGGGCAGACACAGAGGAGCAGGCAAACCACTGCACTGTCCTCACAGGAAGCCACTGTGTGCCGTGCACCTTTTATAGAGAAAGTAAACTCATGTGGTCAGCTACTACCCTTCCAGGGGAGAGAGGAGGCAGTCGTATCTTCACCCCAAAGCTACTATCTTGGTACTCCTGCTGATCTTTGTAATAAAACAATTCTTCAGGTCTTATCAAGCTGAAATAAAACAGCCTAAAAACACTTGGCCAGACTTCAATGAACACTACGTAAGTGTTAATGGGTAATTTAGTTTCAGGTTCCACACAAATAGCCAAGTATACTTTATAACCAGAATAGTCCCTTAATAATTAAGATTAACATTGTTTAGTTCCTCAGCCAATTCTAATCTGGTTGGTGTGAATAAATCTACCAAATTTTATCAGACCTAAAAATTAATAAAATCAATTGTTGAGCCTAAAATTTGGGTTTATAGTGACCCAATAGACAAACTAATAACTATGTTATTGTAATTAACACATAGTAAAGAGCTTACTAAATGTTGGGTATTAAGAATTCTACATTTAATTATCAATCTAAGAGTTGAGTTCTAACATCATCAACATTAAGTGGGGGAAAACAGAGGGGTTAAGTACACTGTCCACAGAAAAAAAGCTTCTGCCCTGCTTCCATCTCAAGAAAATTATGCCAGTAATTATGTCTTTGGTCTTACAGTAGATACAAGAAAAGTCTGAGAAGAAATAAATGAACAGAAAAAAAAAAAAACATCTAAAGCCCAGAAGCTATATATTCCAGTTTCCTTAACTAGTTAAAAAAAAAAAATCCCATGTGTACAAGACCCTATTTCAATCCCTAGTAAGTACTATGAAAACAAAAAAAAAATGATCAGGCAAATTAGTACACTTCGGTAATCTCTGCACTCAAAAGACTGAAGCAGAAAGGACTGCTGTTTGAGTTGTGCTTAGGCTAGGTAGTAAGTTCTAGGTCAGCCTGTATTAAACAGCAAGACTCTAAGGAAAACAACCACCACTTCTCAATAAACTTGGGCGGGTGTGTGTGTGTCTGTGTGTGTGTGTGTGGAGGACAAGGGTCAGGGACGGTTTCTTAAAAAGCTCTCCACCCAGTTAGGTTGTAGTCAGTTGCAGACTGCTAACTCCTGGGCTTCTATTATTTCACATATTAAGAAATTTTTTTTCCACTATTCATTATTTAGTACTTGTGTAAGTAGGCAACTTTGGTTCACTTCAACAAATACTCTGCCTATGATGGTTAATCTCAACTGGCACCTTACTGAGATCTAGAAGCCCCCTAGGAAATGGGCCTCTGGGAATGTCTTCTGAAGTTCTCTTCATTAACTGAGGTAGGAAGAAACTGTACAAGAAAGCACAGTAAAATTCCATCACAAGACAGGAACAGGGAGAAGGCTCATGCTCAAAACCATAAAGCAACTAAAGGAATGCAAAGACATATACATAAAACTACTATAGGCCAGGTACAGTAGCTGGTAGCATACGGCTCAAATCCCAGCACACAGGAAATTAAGGCTAAGGTTTGGGCTACACATTGAGTTCAAACCAGCCAGAGCTACCAAGGTGAGTCTCTGTCCAAAATGAACACACACCTCTCATGTCGTAACACAATCAATAAAAAAGTTCCAACTTGTATTGCAAAAGCTTTTAAATATACAAAAGAATAAACCACTCTGTTCATGACAAAACCATCTCAAGATGATACAATGAACCTTTCCTCAACAATTTTAGCTGGTAAAAATCCAAAAGGCTTGACAACATACACTATCATGGGGCTGAAGAAAAAAAGAACATATCCAAGGCAGTAGTTTGCAAAAATCACATACATTGGTACAGTAATTCTGCTTTTGTGGTCCTACCACCAAGGATACAATAAGAAAAAAAAATGTGAACTACCTGAGGATCAAATGAACAGATTCCAGTATATGGATGTGCGGTGGTTTGAATGAACATGGCTGCCACAGACTCATAGGGAGTGGTATTATTGGAGATGTGGTCTTGTCACTGCAAGGTGGGCTTCGGGGGTTTTAAAAGCTCAAGTCTGACCCAGTGTCACTCTCTTTCTGCTGCCTGCAGATTCAGACGCAGTACTCTACCATGTCTGCCTGCACACCGCCATGATAATGGACTGAACCTCTGAAACTGTAAACTAGCCCCAGTGAAATGTCTTCCTTTATAAGAGCTGCTGAGACAGCATGTAAGGAGATAATGAGAAGACTCTGTGGACACTGGTGGAGTGCTGCTGAAGACAAGAGCATGGCAGCAGGTCACCTGGGAAGGAAAAACCCTCAGCTGAGGAACTGCCCCAATCAAACTGCTTTTCCTGCGTTTATGAGAGACTGTTGATGGGAGAGGGACCAGCCCACTGTAACTGACTCCACTCCTAGGCAGGTATCGATGAGGCACATAAGAAAGTTAGCTGAGCATACGCAGTCATGAGCCAGTAACAACATTCCTCTACGGTTTTAGCTCCAGGTTCCTGCCTTGAGTTCCTGTCTGGCTTAGAGACAGACAGCCCAAAGCAAAATAACTAACTTTTCAAATGAGTTTTCTTGATATGAGTCACAAAATGAGAAGTACTGAGAACAGAAGCAGTCAGTGAACTGGATTCTTAAACAGTCACAAGGAAATGCTGCACCAGAGCAATCGATTCAGGCAAACTTCCAGTCAAACTAACACATCAAGCTAGCACACACATACACCAACAGAGA